CTTTAATAAAAATTTAATAAAAAACAATAAAATGTCTAATTTCTCTTAAATTAATAAAATAAAAAGAAATATAAAAAAGTTGAACAATGTTGAAAGTAGTGTTGAATTTTTGAAATGTTGCGTTAACAACAGTCTGTTACCAAAATATATATATTATTAATATTATCATTATTATCAGGACATTTATACAGCGCCAATTAAATTATTATCTCAAAGGCGCCATCATAAATAATGCAATAAATTCATGAATGACCGCATCTATAAAATCTATAAATAAATTCAATAAATTATAAGCATAAATTGTTTGCTACAACAAAAACAGGTAAGTTTTCAATAATTTCTTAAACATAATTAAATTTAAATCCTGATTTCTTAAATAAAAAGGAAGGCTATTCCACACAGCTGGTCCACAAACTGAAAAATTTCTTGTTCCAATCTTCAAACGGGTAGGCGGAACCATCATGTAATTCAATTCATCACACCGAAGTCGAATTGTTAGTGTTGAAACCACTCGTGGCAAACATTTGTCAACGAGGTATTTTGGTGCGCATCCATTCATATTTTAAAAATCACCCTTTTTTCAATCGTCAACCAGTGCAGTTCTTTAAATATAGGAGTTACATGATCGAACTTTGCCCCACCAACCACGACTTTTGCTGCACGATTATGAATAGACTGAATCATAGCAATTGACTTCTCCGGCAATCCAAAATACAAACTATTACAGTAATCGAGTCTCGAGTGAATGAATGCATGAACCAAACCTTCAGCTGTTTTTTTATCTATTGATCTTCTTATCAAATTCAATTTTCGTAATTGAACAGTACATACTCTGGATAAAAATTTTATATGTTCAACCATTGTCAATCTGGAATCTAATATCCAACCTAGACTTGTTGCTGTGGAACAAAATTGTATATTCAAATCGTCAATCAAAACAGAATCTATATTCATCTTAGAAAGCTGCTGCCATGTACCAACTGGCAACAGTTGAGTCTTGCTCCGATTTAGCCTCAATCGATTTGTTGCCATCCAGTCATTAATATCCGATAAACACTGGACAAAGTTATCAACTATAGATTGGAATCTTTCTGGGGGTCCCTTTACTGTTATCTGAATATCGTCTGCAAAAGCGTGACCCATAAATCCATGAAAATCCAGTATATTAAAAATCTCAGCCGTATATAACAAAAATAATGTTGGTCCTAACACCGAGCCCTGCGGCACACCAGTTGAAACCAAATGAATTGCCGATAAATCATCCATAAATAACACCTGTTGCGTTCGTTGTAACAAATAAGACCGAAACCATAATTCCACTGTACCTGATAAACCAAAACAGATCGCCAGTCGTCTTAAGAGGATATCGTGATCAACGCAGTCAAAAGCTGCGCTCATATCTAAAAATACCAGCAGGGAGGAATTTCCAACATCGATGTTTTCCAACAAAACCGATAAAACCTGCAACAAAGCCGTTTCCGTTGAATGATGTTGTCTATATCCTGACTGAAACACAGGCAATAAATTGTTCTGGCGTATGTGCGTCAACAGCTCCTTGGCAACAATTCTCTCAATCACCTTTGAAATAAACGAGAGATTGGACACTGGTCTATAGTTGTTTAAATCATTAATGTCCATGCCTGGTCTTTTTAACAGCGGTGTAACAATCGCATGTTTAAGTCTGTTTGGAAAGTTGCCTTGTTTGAAACAAAGGTTAATAAAACTGGTTAAAAACCTAGTAAACAAATTTATATGTTTCTGAAAAATGTGCGTAGGCAAAATATCCAACGAACATGATTTTGATGGAGAACTTAGAACTATTCTTTTAACATCGTCTTCAGTGCATACTGGAAAAGTAGAGAACACATTTTCAACTTTGAACTCTGACTGATTGAAGTTTGGATAATCTGCAGTCTTCGTCGATTCTCGAACTTTATCTATTTTATTATTGAAAAACGTTAAAAATTTTTGAGCTGTATGGTCAGTGGCATCTTTTAAACTTACACAGCAATTTATTAATAATACTCCAAATTTTTTTTGGATTATTTTGATTTTCCTTAACGAGCTCCTTCCAATATAGATTTTTCTTTTGAGTGTATATAAAACTTTTGCTTTCATGGCCATTACCCAGTTTTTTTTATCTTCTTCCTTCAACGTTTTTCTATATCGTTTTTCCATTTTTCTACAATAAGCCTTCGACCGTCTACATTCAGAATCAAACCAAGGTGCCATCGGATCATCTCTAACATCAACCATACGATAAGGTGCAACTATTTCAGTGATTTTCGTCATTTCGCTTTCAAATAAATTCCATAAATCATCAGTATTTTCACCCTGGTATAATCTACTTAAAGGAGAATCAAGGACCAAAGAAATAAAACGATCATGATTCATGTTTTTCCCGGAGGCAGAACTCTAATATCGAAAACTGGAAAAGACATAGAAGTGATAATCAGGTCTAACACACCTCCTAATTCATGCGTTGGTTCATTTATTCTATTAACAAGATTAAAATTACCAAAAACTCACATAATGACACACTGTGAGGATCCATGTGTTTCTCTACATGCACATTAAAATCACCAGCTAAGACAACATTGTTACTAAGCAAGGATATTATCTCTAAAACAGCAACAAGTTCCTGAAAGAATAAAGATGAAATTAAAGCCGATCCTGGTCTATAAACAGCCAATAAAACAATATGAGTTCCATTTATTTTTAATTTAATGGCTAATGCCTCAAAAGTCTTTAACACAGGTAATCTGATGAGTTTGAAATTAAAACATCTTTTAAAATAAATTATTAATCCACCATGAAATGGATCATGAGGTCTGACAAAACCTACAAAATTATAACCTGGTGGCATTGCCCGCCTAACAGCAATTTCATTACTAGACCCATGACATGTTTCAGTCAAAACTAAGATATCCAAACCATCGCAAATTACCTCATACACTCTATCATATTTCGACAAAATTGACCTAATATTCAAAAGCCCTAGTCTTATTTTAACATTGTTAAGCATTTTACAACCATTGTTTTTCATATGACTTTTACCTTTACCTTTTATGACTTTTTGAAACTCACGATCCGCCACTTTCCCACAGGTCCTCTGACCCTGTATAAAAAACCTCCCGTACATGCAGCTTCTCTTGATTTTGCATTAGCAATCAAACTTTTCAATTCACTCCTCTGTTCAGCAGTCAGATCATTGGCAAACCATACCTTACTAAGTTCTTCAGACATTTGCTTAAGTTTGTATGAACTCTTCATCACCAACTCTTTAGCTGAAATGTTATCCATCACTATCAAAATTGGCCTATTTGTTGATATAGATATATATTGAAACATGAATATTTTATATATATATATAAATTTATTTTCAAAGAAATATCAACTTAAAATTTAAATTATTTGCCTACTTCTAAAAAATGAACATTCAAATCATTCATTATTTGTTGTTCTAATTTTTAGTTTTAGATGTGGCTGCATTTAATACAATTTGAAACGACACTGATTTATCGTTATTAGTTATTTGCTGGTGTAAACTGTTTTGATGAGTTAAAGATTGATCTTTTATTTCTATATAGAAGCAGGACGTCCACTGCTAGGAATACTTGTCAAAAATGAATTGGCTAACTGCAATAAACCATCCCATATTTGTGTAAAGGTTAAAGGTCCTCTAGGTAAATTCTTCCAAAGTTGAGAAAAAGCAACAACACCTAATGAAAGAATATGAATACGTGCCGAACGACGCATCACACGCGCGCAAATCATTTGATAGGTGAGGAGTCTTTGAATCATATTTGAACCCGGTTACTTCCCGCACTGCGAAACAGCACCTAGCGCCTTAAACCATTGGGCCATCACTGGATTGAAAGTTTAAAATGTTAGCAGTATCAATGTCATAAATATTCAGTGTGGAAAAAATTTTCAAAATTTTGAGATCTAAAATGAATTTGAATAAAAAGAACACATGTAATGAATTTTGTTTTACTAACAAACACACATACTTACTCAAACATACATATTCCCACCATACTAAAAATTTGTACAAAGTTGATGGCTCAGCTTTGGACTGCTTCTCATCCTATTGTTGTAACCTTTAACAATCCTTACTACCAACACCGATGTTATAACTTCAATGATCTCTATATTTCCAACACCTGTGTTGTAGATTCCAACGATCGTCAAGTTATCGTTATTCCGTAGGTTCCAGATTTCCGATGGATGAACACAACTGCTTCAAACGCAAACCTTGTTGAACGTTTATTTGAATGCCAACAGTAGTAGAAATACGAAATTACTTTCAATCGAACTAACTAAATAAATCACAACTACAACTTCGCATCAAACCTCTCCTAGTCTCTTTTCGTAATATAGCGAAAATTGCAAAAATAAAGAATAATCAAAATAGCGCAATTTGATCATAGCAGCGGTTATAACAGGCGCTTTAACAAAATCAATGTTAATGTTAACAATTAGAACAAGAAAAACGTTCAATGAAAATGTTAATAATCACAACGAAAAAAGTGTGTCTTTAATTGTTTCTTGAATTGTAGTAGAGATAAGTTAGACTGGCGCAAACAATGTAGAAGATCACTCCAAGTTTTGGTCCGCAGATATGCGCTGATGTTTCTTCAGGACTTTGGGAGAATGTACAAACAGGACCTTTAACCAAAACTTCTTACTGCAATGTTCAATCTCGTCAATGGAGCCAGTAAGGAATCAAAAAAACATTTGTACAGTTTTGTCTGTAAAAGAAACACAAAAGCGTATTCTAAATTGTATGCAGATGTATTCTAAAACTATACAAAGGTATTCTAAGTAGGCGAATGTAACTGTTAAATGACTTGAACTGCTTGCTTTTGTAGCTCCCTGCACATTGAAACTTGTTGTCAGTCGCTGATTGGACTTTACCTGACTGAAATTTAAAAAATTTTTAACTTTATTATTTATGTTTTCTTTTTATGTATTTCTGATAATTTCGTAGTTATTTTGTTTTGTTTGATCATACAAGCTCATTGAGCTTCTGTATTTCCCGGCCTGAAATAAAACCGTGTGTTTGTGTGTGCGCGTGCGTGCGTGCGTGTGCCTGTGTGAGGTTACGCTTATCAACACTGAAAATACATTTTTACTGTAATTGCATTACTTAATTTTTAATTTCTTTGTTCCTATATTTTAATATTCTGATTGTCAGTAATTACATTCATTTAAAATTTCATTCCTATTTATCTCATGTGCCAGATTCTGATTTTTTTTAATTTCTATATTTTGATGTGGTGATCAATTAGGCATTTTAATTAGTGAAACAGATGTCGCGGGGCAGTTTTAATAACCAAATTAAATGCACTAAGAAAACCGTATGCAAATGAAGGACGGGCAAAGATTCTGAACTGAAAAGAATTTCAGCTAATATCAAAATCACAATGATTATGTTTGATAACCTGTGATCTCTTTTTTTTCTCTCATTATTTCACAGTTAAATAGCTATATAACCTGGTTGGTTTTGAGTTTTAAATTGAATTGTGACTATTTATTTTATTTTATTTTAGCTTATTTAAATTAATTTCAATATGTCTATCAGCGCATATAAATGTTGGGACGTTCGAACCAATGGATTTGATAAATTTCATGGAGAAAATATTTACGAAATTTTGAAAAAATTAGCAAGTTTTGCAAATGATAAAAACAATACTCGCCAGTTGAGAGAATTAAATGAAGTTTACAAGTTGTTGAACAAGCTGACAAATGAATTTTTACCAGCCAAGAAATCAACTATGGATATGTTGGCGAAAGGTTGTTTTGACGAGAATGCTCTTTCTGTTTTGCAACTTCTGGGAAAAGAAGTCATCCCACTTATTTGCAACGTTTTTAAAAACTCTATGAGTGAGGAAGTTCAACAAGAAACTAGCGAATTAATAGGAGTTGTATGTCGAAATGAACTTTTCTGTTCTCTTGTTTGGGATGATGAAAAAACAGTTGAAAGTTTGATCAGTCGTTTAACTACAAGTAAAGATATTAAGCATTTATTATGCCATATTGAAATAATATCAATGCTATCAAAACATGAAAACCAGATCAAAAAGATGGTGAACCAAAATGTAGTTTTCCACTTGTCGGCTTTGTTAGACTCCAGTCTGATAACAAATGGAAAACAACTGGAACAAATATTTTCCACTCTTCAAATTTTTATTGGCCATTGGTCACCTGACGTAAAAAAACAATTAAAAAATTCAAATTTACTAGGAAGGATTTCAAAGTTTTTGAATAGCGAAAATAAGGAACTTTCAACCGTTGCATACGAGTTTGTTCAAAATTTGATCCAATGCCCTTCGCTACTGAAGCGATTTGAAAGAAATGGATTTGTAAAACATTTCATGCAATCGTTCTATGCTGCTGATGGTGGTGATGAAAAATTGAAATATTTCAAGTACATTCTAGCCTGTTGTCAGTATAAAAATAATTTATCAAAATCAAACGTTCTCTTTCTTCTTGAACAGATATCCAACCCTTTAACGCTTAATTATTTCGGAAGAATAATGTCCATATTACTCTACCAATCCAATAACTCTGAAGAGTTTCGACAATTGTTTGCGGCGAATATTGTAGAAACGTTTACAAAATTTTTAAATAGAAATGCTTCTCTGAGTATTGTTGAAAGATCAGCGTACATTCCAAAACTGGCTAGTAGTACATTGGCCCAGTCGCTCAGCGGTTCAACTGATGAAACGAAGACAGATCTGACCTATACAGCTCTGAAAGATTCAATGAAATCTTATAAAAAAAGACTGCCATGTCAATACATCAAATATATAATTTCTTTCTTTCACCAATTTGTCAGAGAGACACACTGGATAAAATATTTTGAAAATAAAAACTTCATAGGGACAATGGTGAAATGTTTAATTGCTCACAAAAATGACGAAGTAATTGTTCAAATATTTCAAAAATTATGCACATTTAGTAATTATTTCCCACTCTTGCTAACGGAAATGTTTCTACCAGCTTTTCATCTTCATTATTTAGAAACTGAAGATGATAAGAGCTTACTGTACGATGTTCTCAACATTAACATTTTTTGGCTGGCCCGTATTTTTAACCGATTCTGCACGTCTTATTGGAAGGTTGTAAATAAATCTGACAGCGAAGTGAAAAAGAGGTCAATCATATCTTTAGCCTATCTGTCCAGCAACAAACAACATGAATTCACGAAAATCATAACTCGGGATACAATAATAAAAACCTTACTGGAAGTAATGCACGATGATCAGGACAAATATCAAACATTGGCGACTATTGCCTATGCTTATGTAATGCGACAATGCAAAGCCTCACCGTTGAAGGTTACAAACAAAACCATACATGATGAAGAAGTCTCAACAGAGCTCAACACTACTGACAAATTTTTAAATATTTCCAACAAAGATGTGTCATTTTGTTTTAATGATGGTCAAATTGTTCTGTCAAATAGTGATGTCTTGTCGGAAAAATCAGATGTTTTTAAAGCGATGTTTAAAGGATCATTTGCAGAATCATACACGAAAACAGTGAAAATGCCAGAAACATCAAGGGAAATCTTCACTATTTTCAACGACTGCATTTTATCCGGATCAAAGCTGCCACTGCAAAATTATTTGGACAGAACGGAAATCATTTTAGGCATATTTAAACTAGCCCACATGTACATGGTGGCATTTGTTGAGCAGCAGTGCATCGAAATCATGCAAATTAATATTGATAAATATTTGGAAGAGATTTTGCACAATCAGATTCTTTTATATGATTCAACTCTATCATTTCATTGCGTAGTATACGCATGTAGAAATATAAATGATAGTAGTATTTGTCACATTTTGCATGAGATTAAAAGGTATATAACATTTTCTGATTTGTTAGCATACTCCATAGCATTGTATGAGGAGATTTTGTAATGTTAGTTTCAATGTTCATCATACATTTAACATTATTCGTTTATCCACATTTTTACCCATTTGTTTCGGCTTGTTATTTTAAAATTTTAAAAGTTTAGATTAATAAATTTATATGGCATATTGATATTATATATGTGTGTCTATATATAAATACCTTAACTATCACAAATAAAACTTTTTAGGAGATTATAATTAGCATAACAATCAAATTAAACAAAATATCGCATGTACATATTTTATTTATTTTTATTATTTATTGAGTTAATTGTTATTTTGTTGCCGCATAGGGGCTTCAGTTAGCGCCCTTTATTATACTATTATGTTAGTGGTGTGAAAAAAATGTCTTCATAAAACGCTCTTATGTTATTTTTCTTTACTGAAAGAATCATCATTCTCACTTCAGTACTCCGTTCGTTGTCACCCAATTGACACTCAACATCGTTTAACTTCTTTGTCCTTAAAACTATAATTAAAATCAAATCTGGCATTCTTATTTATACAAATTAACTTCATAGCCAATAAATCAGCGAACGAATGAACGAACGAACAAATGACTGAATGGATGAACAAATAGATGAATGAATGGATCAATGAATGAATAATTGAATGAATGACATTTCATTCAATTTTATTGATGCTAGATCCCGACACTACCACCTAAGTATTGCGAGAGTAAAAGGGTATAAGTGAAATGAATGATTTTATAACTAAGTAAACCCATCAACTATGTATTATATTTGGTGTATATACGCGACTTTCAAAATCTGGAGTTGGTAGTAATACTGTACGAGTGGTGGATCCTGAATTTTGCGGTTTGGGAGTTGATTTCAAAGTTTTAAAACTGTAAAGTTGATGATCTTTTTTCCTAATTAAAAAGTTTTTTTGTACAAGAACACAGAGCACTAGGTTGTGGAAATCACCAGCCATCAAATGCATTTAAGTTCATGCAAATGCATGCAAGGCTCCAGAACTGTAAATTAAAAAAATTATAACATAAGTTCACTTTTCTTGCATAACGTATGTAAATAAAAAACATGAGAGTGATGTTTTTCAATTGTATTTAATAATTATTTAAGATTAAGATTAAAGCGAAAATGTACAAAGTCATTTTTTGATTGTGTAATCATTAAATCAATTTTAGTTTTTTTTTAAGTTTTATTTTTATTTCCGAATTAACTGTATCACCAGTTAATTGTTTTTTCTGCAAAATTTAACTTTCTTGTTGACTACTTGACTTGAGTAATAAATAAAATAAAATGAAATGAATGAGTTGTCTTGACTTGAGGTTGATCCTGAGCTGAGGAGATCTCACTTGACTGCCCACTCCAGACACACACAGTACAAAACTTAGTACTAGACTAGTACTGTGGTGGGTAGACACTGTATTGTACATTTAATTCTGGCATTGCTTTTTTTGTTGCATTTTGCATTCTTTGCTTTTGCATACTTTTGCTTAATTAAAAGCTAAGTTCTTTGTTACCAGCAAACATTTATTTATTATTACTAATATTAAATAAAATAATAATTTATTATATTATTATATTTCATATAATATAAATATAAATCAGGCTTGGTTAGGTTAGGTTTTTTTGCTTCTGTTTTCGCTCTGTGGGTGGGTTTGGTTAGTGTTGTGGTTAGTGTTGTGGTTGGAGGTTAGGGATAGAGCTGTTTATTATGATAGATCATGGCATAATATAATTTAATAATTTATGTTGATAATTAAATATAATTTAATAATTATATATAAATTTTTATTCAATTTATATCTAATATATGACATATATTAATTAATTATTATGTGAAGTATGTTATATATTTATTATTTAAATAATGATATCACGAACGCATATACCATATTACATTTCTAAACCTCATCCATTACACTCTGACTTCCTGACTAATAAATATCAAATATGTAAATAAGAAAGATCCAAAAAAGCGAAATTTTGTTGTAATTTTATTGTTATATGTAAGATAGGAACATCGATTCTCAGTCTTATATCATATTATACAATTATTAAAGTCAAATTTCGAAAAAAATATTCTTATATTATACGATTGCTACAGTTGTTTGTCAAACTTTGAACAAATTGTGACCTAATATTTATTTATTATTATTCTTATTTTCCTCTTTCAGTTATTTCCCAACCAACCAAGCAAACAAAGGCTAACTAGTATATACAATGAAAATTGAAATCGCCTTCATAGTTCTAAATTAAAGTAACGTTAGCATCGCCGAGGTTAAATGACGACGATATAAATATGAACAGCGAAACTCAAAATCCCGAATCAATTCTAACTCAGGCCAAGGAGGCTGACGAAGAAGACAAAAGTACTTCCTCCATCATTTATTATTTTAATATTATTATATATTATTATATTATTTTTATTTTATATAAATATTTTATAGTATATTAATTATATTATTATATATTATTTCAAAAACTATCAATCGTTTCATTTTAAAATCGGTCTCTCATATCAACTTGGCTTTGTTCACGTTTTAAGCTCTATTCTGATCAACGATTCATAGTTCCCATGTATTATATGGTAATATAATATTAAATTTATATTATATATATATATATTAATATGAAATAATATATATTAATGTAATATAATTTGTGTGATAATTTCAACAAACTGTAATCAAATTGCATCTTCTAAATTCACTTTTCACCATTTGTTCACCATTGAAAAATTTATTCATTTCTTGCAATAATGAATGATGTTTAATGTGATCTACTTTTTTAAACCAGTCAAACATTTAGAAAAGATGATAAATAAGAAGAGGAAGAGGAAGTTGTTTCAGAGAATATTTTGTTGCTGGAAGGCTGACACGGACTCTATAGGAACAAGGATCTCTGAAATTGTGACCAGCGAGGATGCATCCCTCAAAAAACTGCCCGTTGGTCCTCTTCGTTTCATCTTGGATCTCTGCAAGAAATAGATTATTGACTCACTAATTTTTTGTCCTTCGTTTTAATTTGAAATTTGGAATAGTTCTTAAATGATAAAAGCCTTTCATTTTTGTGATGATAGGATCATTGGGAATATTTAGAAAGCCATCAATGGTTGCATTATTTGTTCCACTGTTTCACCATCACCAACCACACACACACACACACCATCACCAACTCACCATCAGACAGCCGTTGCGGAAGGGATCGTCGCGGGTCCGACGCAGCAGTTCGCCGACAGGGTCTGCCTGGTTGTTGACCTCGATGAAACTCTCGTCCACAGCACTTTCAAGGTTTGTGTCAAATCTTTCGTGATGAGGGTGTCATCAGTTGGTCACTGGTCAGTTTGAATGGTGAAAGGGTCGCCAGAGTGTTCCGTGCCTCACTTGATGTTTTGCCCTGTCTATTTTTTTATTTTTTTGCTTCAACATTACCTTCATCATTTGCTCAACAGTTTTAATTTCGATAACATTCCCAAACATTTCCAAACATTTCCTTTACTCTTCTTCCCATTGCAAGCAAGTCAGTTTACAAGACAAATCGTCATCCAAATTTTAACAAATCATCAGAGGAATGCATGCAGAGCACTTGAAGCATGCTGATGACGGGATGTTGATGATGATGGTGATGATGATGATGGTGGTGATGATGATGATGAAAACGTATTAATGATTATGACATAACAGAGGAAATATATTGAAATATTGATGGAGGTTATGAACTTATAACAAAATAATGTTATGTACTGTACATCTGCCATCATCATCTGCTGGATGGCCAAGCAAGCAGCTATCATCTGACTAACCATTTAACCAATCAATCAACTAAACTGTTTATCAACCAACCAACCTGCCAACAAACCAACCAGTCAACCAACCAACCAGTCAACCAACCAACCAACCAGTCAACCAACAAACCAACCAACAAACAAACCAACCAACAAACAAACCAACCAACAAACAAACCAACCAGCCAACCAACCATCCAGCCAGCCAGTCAACCAACCAACCAACAAACAAACAAACCAGTCAACCAACCATCCAACCAACCAACCAACCAGTCAACCAACCAGTTAACCAACCAACAAACCAACCAACAAACAAACAAACCAACCAACCAGCCAACCAATAAACCAACAAACAAACCAACCAACAAACCAACCAACAAACAAACCAACCAGCCAACCAACCATCCAACCAACCATCCAACCAACCAGCCAACCAACAAACAAACCAACCGGCCAACCAACAAACCAACAAACCAACCAACCAACAAAAAACCAGTCAACCAACCATCCAACCAACCAACCAGGTAATAACGAATCCTGATTACATCATACCAGTCGAGATTGACTCACGAGTTTATTCTGTAAGTTAATGGTTTTTTTTATTGCTATTATTATTATTATTGTTATTATTATTATCATTGAAGTTTATTAGGTTAATTGAAGTGCTTCATGAATGAATGAACGAACGAACGAACGAATGAATGAATGAATGAATGATTAAATGAACGAATGAATGAATGAATTTCGATTGAGTACCGTCAAGTATTTTTAATAGAGTCTTGTTTTGGTTGATGGAGAACAACGACATATCCTCAATAAACACATTTTAAGTTGTGTATGTGATGCGTGTGTGTGAGAGAAAGAAAGAAAGAGAGAGAGAGAAAGAGAGAGCATGCTTAGGATAACGAGACACGCAACAACCTCCCTACAATTCTTGTTTTCTGGACTGAATCAGCTAATGAAACCGGCTTAGCTAATGAAATAATTTTGATTTGTATTACTAAACGTCTGGATGTGATGTACATAGGACGCACACACACACACACACACACACACACACACACACACACATACAATATATAATACACACACACACAAACACACAATGTGCGAATGCAGGTGTACGTTTTGAAGCGACCGTATGCAGAGCTGTTCATTGATGAGATCGGAGGACTGTTCGAATGCATACTCTTCACCGCCAGTCTATCCAAGGTTGCCGTTACTTTATCAATAGTACTACTACTATTACCACGGCGTTTTTTGCTACTTCTACTAACTTCTACTACTGCTACTTCTACTACTGCTACTACTTCTACTACTGCTACAACTACTACTGCTGCTACTTTTACTACTATTACTACTACTACTACCGATACTTCTACTACTAACTACTGCTACTACTACAACAACAACAACAACAACTACTACTACTACTACTACTACTATTACTACTACTACTACTACTACTGCTATTACTACTACTACTACTACAACTACTATTACTACTGCTGGTACTACTACTACTACCACAACTACTGATACTACTACTGCTACTACTATTACTACTACTGCTACTACTACTACTACAACTACTGCTGGCACTACTACTACAACTACTCCTGATACTACTACTACTGCTAATACCAACTACTGTCGCTGATACTTCTACTACTACTATTAATGCTGTTATACAGTAGAACAAATACAGCAGAGTATTGTAGTCATAGCTGTTTGTTGATGACACGCACATCAACAGTACGCCGATCCACTGACCAACCTACTGGACAGGAACAAAGTCTTTCAGCACCGCCTGTTCAGAGAGGCCTGCATATTCAAGAAGGGCATCTACATCAAGGACCTGCAGAGTCTCGGTCGGCCACTGGACAGGCTGGCCCTGCTGGACAACTCACCGACGTCCTACATGAACCAGCCCAATAATGGGGTGCGTAGGTGTGGTTGGTTTCTCCCACGTTTTTGTGTTGCATGCATGGCAGTAATGGCGCTGTGTTGTATTGTGTTGTGTTGTGATTTGAAAGGCACCGAACTACCCCATGTAACTAAGGTAATAAATGAAGTGGCAGCAGCAGGATAAAAAGTTATGGAAAATAAAAGTAATCGCGAGGACGAATGAAGAACATTCCACTTTTTTGTAATCGGTTAATCTATAATGCATTGTGTCTTCCCAAAATATGCCATTATATTGATACACCACAAATAGCAGTGAGTGATTGATTTTAACTTTTTTCATTTAGACCTATTGGATTGATAAACGATAAACGCAGATGTCAATCGAAGACATCTGTGGCATAACATTTTCCATTTTATACTACAGCTTTGGCCACGATGCCTATCTATTGGTCTTGTTGTCAGTGCGTTCAAGTGGTAAATGTTGTTTATATGGACAGCCGTATAAATTATGATGCTTGACCCTTGTTCTTAGGCTAAATATAAATTGATTGAAGGAGCTGCAGTACTGCTACTTCGTGTCAGTCGTTCAATGACGCACGTTGCATAAGTTCTTTTATTCTGTTGGAGCCCAATTGAAGCAAGCTTAATCTGTAAATTTTGTTTTAATTGTAGATATCCGGTTCATACCGCTGTTACAAGAACTCGCCACTGTGTTTGTTAATCAACTCATCAACTATTGCGTACAATGCTGGTACCAGAGGCGCACCTGTCATGAAACACCAACGAGCGCCTTCCAACATAGCGCAGAAACAAGCTGATTGTGCAGTGAGCAAATGCATGTTTGCTACATCAATCGGCACAGGCAATGCCTTTTTTCTACAAATTTCAAAAATCCACATAAAAATAATAAAACAAATAATTGTCTGCAACAAAAAGTTGTTTCCATGTCGACTTTCCCAGCAGCAAGTTCCACTCACAGTGCTGCTACATGATGGCTTCCAGTTTTTTTCATTTCCAATCTCTTCAATGAATCGAATGCTTCATGTGTATCTGCATGTGACGGCTTTGTTGTTGTTTGGTGTTGTTCATTTTTTGCGTCTTTTTATTGTTTAATTGTGGTTGTTGTAGCAGTAGCATTATTATTGGTAGTAGTGGTAGCTGTAGAGGTAGTAGTATTAGCGGCGGTAGTGTATTTTTGTAAGCTGTTTGTTAGGTTTTTATTCGTCAGAAAATAATTTCGTTACAAAACGGAGTTAATTGAGAACAACCACTTTGAAGATTCCCATAAAGTCCTGGTTCGGTGACATGAAAGACAGGGAACTTCTCAAACTGATTCCACACTTGAAGAAGCTTGCCACTTGCACGAACGTTTACACTTGCTTGCCAGCCATCCACAAGGCCAGATTTATCGATGGGAAGGAGAGTTTACAGCCCGATGAAAATGCTGATGCAGTTGACGTTAGCACGCAGAACAACTTGATAAACATCACGAGTCCCGTGCCAACACTTTCTGCAAAATCTTCCTTCGTCTTCGCTTCCGACGCCAGCAAAAAGAACAACAACAATTCTGGGGAGGTTGCTTTCAACAGGGTCATAAAAAGAAACAGTAGTTCTAATGTTATGTTTCGAAGGAACAAAAAAAGAAGCTCGAGTGAAGCGCAACATAAATCGACCAAATTAAACAGCCAGGTCCTCAAGAAGAGGAGCACCGATGTTTCCTCTAACCCGGATGTTTGCAAGGCACCGAACGAAAACTCGAGCAGTGGACAGCGAAGCATGGACCACTTGAACAGAGAAACTATGCAGCCTCCGCAGGATTGCACGAAACCAAGCAATCTGGAGAACATTTTTTCACTGTCCGACTACCACAAGGAAGACGACACTTGTGGACCGACGCCGACGAGCGGCTCCAGCAGGGGCAGCATGTTCTCGCTGAAGAACCACAACCTCCTTCCCAGGCAGTACAGAGATCCAAGCAATAGAAAGACGACTTCATTGAGGAACTTTATAAATAGCGATAGTTCTAAGCAAGCGCATCGAAACAGTGGTGAAGCGCCACAAGACAGCAGCCACAAACATCATCAACAACAACAACAACACATCTCTCATCAAAAATTCAACTCCAACCGACCATATTCAACTTCTGTTTTAGGAATGCAACAAAAACATAATAGCAAAACAACATCACATCAAGGACAACATCATCGTCACGACAACAAGAAAGAAACTTTCCATAGAGACAACAACAACCAGACGACAACTACACCAACAACAACAACGACCACAACAACGACAACAAATCCAAGCATCAATCTCCCTAATTACTTCGACGCATTAAACATCAACCTTGAGGACCGACAAAACAACAACATCGATAACAACATTAATAATATCAACAACACCTCTGTCATTAACAACAACAACTTATGCAACAACACAAACAACAACACAAACAATGCGAGAACGCTTCAAGTTAATAGCAGTAGTATATTTAACGTCTTCAACAACATCAACAACAATAATAATAACATCAATAATGACAACAGCAACAACGTCAACAACAACAACAACAGCAATTATAATTATAACAATAGTAATAGATATGTTTATAATAATATCTGCAATATCAGTGACAGTATTATACTCAATAACAGTTATAATAATAATAACAACAACAACAATAATAATAATAATAGTAATAATAATAGGAACCATAACAACAAAATAAATCTCCTTCCACCTCCAACTGGCATGAATATTTCAAGAACATATTAATTTTAGAAATAATATTTTTATTTTTTTTATATTTTTTAATTGTTATTATTATTATCAATATTGTTATTATTAATTTAGTTATTATTATTTTTAATTGGACCATTTCTTTCGGAACGATAACTTGTTAGTTAATTAATAGATAGATAGTTCTTTCTAGTAAGTATTGATAGTCTGATGGACGACATGCCATCAGTAATTTAGAGAAGATATAAATGTTAGAGTGCTTTATGCAGGGTCTCAGAGTTGGATCACGAATTTTTTCCACTCTGACTCCTTGATTGGAAGTTTTCCAACTACTACGACTCCGAGTTAATTTTTTAACTTTCGCATCATAATTTGTCTTGAATACCGCCACTGAAAGGGAACCAAATTGAAAAAGGGTTAAAATCAGACGATGTAGGTATGTCTTTCTTAGTAGGGATTACTTCACGTTTATTTTTTAAAACACGCTGAAAGAAAATTATGTGATTTTATTCTTATTCACTATCAGTATTAAAATGGTTGCGTATCGCTACGCACATGTATCTTCTAAAAAAAACACGGTCTTATTAAAATATTTTTAGAACAAAGAGTGAAATTTTTTCAACTTTCAAAAAATATCCGACCCTGACTACGAAAAATCCTCCGACAACATTTGTTATATGAAATCGATGTTTCTATGTATGTTTTAGGTTTTGTTTGTTTGTATGTATGTTTGTATGCGTGTGTATGCATTTGCTTGTTCGTTTTTTGCTTGTTATATATATGTTTTTATGTATGTTGTTAGTACGAGTGTTTGCATGTAAGTCAACATGTCTCAATACTATGCCAAAAGTTATCTATGTATTCATACGAATTTATTAGTATCTAGTCTGGTTTAAATTTATTATTAAATTAAAAATATTAAATTTGTCAAAGGATAGCATATGCTTGCAACATATACTTACACACACGCACACTCACACACACACATACATAGAATATAGATTTTAAACAATCGAAAGCACCACAGATTCCACATTATAAACCCTCCAATGGTTCATCCTTCATCCATTACTCTTGCTATCTTTTCAAAGCATTTATATTTTCATATAGTTTTTATTATGTCTCTACTCTGTTGTACAGGCTGCTTAGCATATATAAAGGATGCATTATTATTATTTTTGTTATTATTATTAATAGACTACATAATCGATTTTTATTCTTTATATTTTAGTTTATTTTATCTTATTTTCATTTCATTGTATGTTTATTTTACTTTTGGAAAATTAAAAGAGTTTCCATTATTATTATTATTATATGTTTTTTTTATAAGCGCTCATTACAGATCATCTTGTAGGTGCATATATACAGGCTGTCTATATATATTTCTATTTTTTTTAATACTTTATGGTGTGTGTGCGTATATATATATATATATATATGTGTGTGTGTGTGTGTGTATCTGTGCCTGTTTGTTTTGGATGTTTGAGTGTAGTAGCGAAAGATATATCCTAGATTTATTCCATTCCGTTGGCAAACCATTTCATAGCTTTATTGAGCAATGAAACCAAACAGACTTTTGCCAATTTTTAACTAGTATTTTATGTAATCATTTAAAATAACCATACTTGTTTTATTGTTATTTTTATTATTTCTTGTTATTTCTTCCCACCATAATAAACCCTGCACATTGGGGCTGCGTGATTTGATGGATGGGTAGATGGATATTTTATTAACACTTTTTTAATACAGACGATTTTGTGTGTAATGTACAGTGTACATTACATACGTACATATTATGTACGTATGTAATGTGTATTGTATTGCAATTTATCAGTAGATCTAATATACATATTTATATATTAATATTTACGTATGCATATATGAGTGTTTATAATTACAGTATATAATTACAAACATATGTATACATTACGTATATTTACATACATGTAACCATATATATACAATACATACATTTACTTACATTAGTATGTATGTACCTATAAGTATATATGCATATATTTATATGAATATATTAGAAATGGTTAGGTAGTAATTTAGTATCCATTTGTTTTTTTTATAAAATAGGCGAAAAGATAGATGGATGGATGGATGGATAGATAGATGGAAGGATCCATCAATCCATCCATTATCTACTTATAGATAATTGATGGATAAATGCATAGATGTTTTGATGAATGTGTGGGTAAATTATTCGACCTGTGATAAGATAGATAGATAGATAGGTTGGTAGGTAGGTAGGCAGGCAGGCAGACAGACAGACAGACAGACAGACAGACAGACAGACAGATAGATAGATAGATAGATATAGATAGATAGATGGATGGATGGATGGATGGATAGATAGATAGATAGATAGATAGATAGATAGATAGATAGATAGATAGATAGATATAGATAGATAGATAGATATAGATAGATTCATAGATAGATACATAGATAGATATACATATTAGTCATCATCAATTTGATGTGTTTTAAACTTAAGTTGATAATTAACACAATGGTCTTATTTATAAAACACTTGAACTCTCCTCAACTAACCAACCAACTAGTCGACTCAATCTTCCAGAGTCATTTGGTTTTTATTATTTGTTTTTTTTATAAAATGTGTTAATACTTTCAAATGTTTATATTAGATTAAGATTGTCAGAAATGCAATTATTGATGAAAATCACAGTGTATATATATATATATATATATATATATATATATTTATGTATATATATATATATATGTTTATATTAATGTATATATGTATATATATATATATATATATATATTAATCTGAGTTTACACCTTTACACCTATATCTATCTATCTATCTATCTAAGGTGTAAACTAAGATTAATATATATATATATTTATTAATTTTCTTTCACTTCAGCCAATCCGACCTCTCAGAATTTTTTATTTTCGTGAATTTTGTTGATTAGTTAATATTATTTATTTAAATAAAAAACTTTATGCAAGTGTATGACTTTATTAAAATGCTCTGACGAAGTGCACGATTTCATCCAAGGAAGGAATGGAACCTCCTTGTTATTTACATCTTATTTTATATCTTTCTGACGCAAGCACTCGATTATTCAAACAAACGTCTGGGCCCGAAAGGTGTAATGTAAACTAAGATTGGAAAACATTGAGGTCGCCATACGTCTGTTCTACAAAATCTTATTTTTACGTTAGAAGTTAACTATTTTGTGCGTTGTTTTCTGTCGAATTTTCATATTTTTCAACGTTAATGTAAATCATTTTTAGTTTTTTAGACTTGAATACTTTTTTTATGTTTTATGCCGACGACTTTAAAATATTTTAAAGAAAATTTTGAACCATCAATGCCCGTAGATAGTTTATTATTTTTAAATAGAATGTTTATAAAGCTAAAACAAAATGATAGTATCACTAGTCGTTTTTCATTAAATTGTTATGTGGATTTGTATATTTGCAATTTTATTGAATTAGTGCATAATAAAAATTATTTCTGTTCGAACTGCATGTTATTGGAAAAAATACTCAAATGCAATTTATTCAGTGTTAAATCTTGTTTGTTTTTAAGTTTAGAGGCTTCTGCAAAATCAAAGTAACATCACATTGATATCATATGTTTTACTGGCTGTTATTTCGGCAGAATCATTTCAATCATAATTGGGCCGCTTTCTCGTCAACTCTAAATTTCTAGCTTTCCAAACTCTGACATTACATTTTTCCTATTAGCTCAGTTCATAAACAGCCTTTTTTCGATCCTGATAAATTTGTTTCTCGAGATTGTTGATCGCAGCGCCATGTGCGTACGATTATATACGATCAGTAGGCCTAATGTTTATCAGTCGAAACAGAAAGGACTTGAATTATTTGAAGATAAAGTAATTTAAAGAATACATTTTGGTATGCCGCACTCTACGTGACCAGAAATTTTTGTAAATTTTCTCGTGATGCAGTCAGTAAAAAATGCCACTGGCGAACTTGAGGTTGTTGTTGATGACCTTCTCACCGCTTTTGAATCCTCTAATATGTAAATGTTTCCAACGTAATTCATTTTACATCATTTGCAATGTCAAGATGTTGAAGAATGCAATTTTTTCTAACACTTCTACTGAAAAGAAAACATTCAGTACTGAGGTGCGCCGACTTGGCCGAAACATACTGCTGTCAATACGTCTTCTTGTAGAAGTGGAGTGAAAATTCAATTCCAACATCGATAATCACAATTTATCTGACCATGTCAAACGCTATTTCGAATTTAATAAAAGAGTGAAAAAGCTTGCTTTTTTAACATTACTTGAACGGAACAGAATAATTTGTCACAGTTTGCTTCTACATTGAATCAAAATATCACTGTCACTTAATTTATTTTTCCAGATGAAAACTTCCTATCAGAACTTTTCAGAAAGGATGAAAGTTTAATGACACGCGGACTACTTTTATTTTTCTTGCTATAAAACAGAAAACTCTTACGGGATCTACAACCCTCAAATCAAGGAGCAAATAAACGACATCAACGAATCATCATTCCATATTTGAGACAAGTCTCAAATTTCATGTTTGTGCCTAGAACTTTGCATATCAGTAATTCTATGCATCTGTCTTACAATGGATGAATTCACTCAACTTTAAAGAAAACATTCACTTGTTTGAAGATTTAATTTTTTTAAACATTAGTTCAAAAAATTTAACAAAACTATTTCTACCTGATTTATTGCAGTTAAAAAAATGCTTGCACTTGATAAATCCCCAAGTAATTAACAAAGAATGTTATAATTTGAAAACAATATTAAGACGGAGAAACAGAATGATACAATAATATCAGCAAAACACCGCTAAGTTCCGTCCATGTTTATATAATGATTGTATCAACGTTTCAATGAACAAAGGTTTATCAATTAGGCATAAATTAAAAAGTAATACTATCTGAACGTTGTAGATATGTGCATATGTTAGCATCTAATGTCAACCAACTTCAAAACTGACAATAAATTTCTAGCGTTCAAATTAGTTTTGAAACACCAATGAAAAATACTACAAAGTTCGTATAAACAATTTCTGAAAATAATAAACTAAATAAACGTTAAGAAATAGTTTGCAGTAATTCAGGTATACAAATCAGATTTAGAAATGGTGCATTAATCATTGACACATAGCGATTTTTTAACAGGCAATTCTAACATAACGCATGTAGTAACGTGCTAATTTGATATAATGAACCTCGTAACGTGTTGCATTAATATAAGATATCTTTTAACAAATTCAAATAACAAAGGGATAACAATTGAAACTGCAACATAACAAATCAAATAACACCTTACACATTTATTTGCAACATACATGATGACGATTATGTAATAAGAAGATCGAATTATAAGCGACAGGCCCAACCAACTGGATGGAAAGTTATAAGAAGACACGACGTCAGAAAGTATGAACATTTAAGAAGATATTCAGCACGCCACTGCAAAACAAATGCTGGAAGCTTGGAACATAATTCATCAATAATAAAAAAATTAATTATTTCAATCAATTAATCAAACAATCAATCACTCATTTATTTATTTCTCCATCAACAAATATTAGAATGATAGCAAAAATAATTACCAAAAAAATTGAACTTTAAAAAAATATCAGCAAAATCACGTGAAAATAATAATCAAGTGAGAGAAACGTGAACAAAAATTTGAAATTATCACCCCTTCATCATGAACCTACTAGAAATCATCTCGCCACTCACCGCAGAATCACATCACCAACTGATGAACACGTGATGACCCAGCTGGTGAACATCATCTGCTGCATTCCAAGGCATGGATGGAGAGGGGCGGATAAGAAATAATTGAACGTAACTGCAGTGGGCAAGAAGATGCCAACCCATGGTGATGAAGAGTGATGACCGAAGATGAAATGGTGAAGATAAGATGATCAAGACGACAAAGTGTTAAAGATAAAATGATGATGTAAACCCATGCAATGCCATGACCCATGATCACGTCATCCATTATTGTCGTGCTAATTATACGTCTTTATAAATTACAATATTGTTCATTAGATAGATACTGAACGGTTGAATGAATGAATGAATGAATGAATGAATGAATGAATGAATGAAGGAATGAATGAATGAATGAATGAATGTACAAACAGATAAATTATGCATATCCAACATACAACGTCAAAATAAATGGACATCTATTAAAATATAACGACAAACAACAGAGCATACAGAGTAATTGAACAGCCGAAATGCATTTGAATATCTGAACATCTGTTGTTCTACAGCACGATAGAACCACATAACATATGATGAGATGATTACACCAACAACATGTGATGGGATGATTGCATCAACAACATGTGATAAGATGATTGCATCAACAACATGTGATAAGATGATCATATCATCATGAAGAATTAGCGAACAAACATAAAACCATAGATCATATTGAATTGTGCATCAATAAAAACAACCTGTCAGCCAACAGATGCTAATTTCATCTTAGAACGGCCACAGGTAGCGAGCGAACGAACGCAAACACACAACACAAAACAGAGTCCTCCATACAACAAACAGCTAAGGATTAGTTAACGAAAAAACACAATTATTATTGAACAAAACCAGCGTTAATCAACGACAACAAAAACTAAAGCATCGTTAACAACAGCAACGACAAAGAAATCAAAAACAGCAGCAGCAGAGGACTTTCAGTGATCTAATATTCTCAAATTGCCAGATACAATTTTGTTCTCGAGAATTGAACCGGGAGGAATATCAATTCTGTCACCGTGATTGGCTATGATTATCACGGTGCCCTGCATTGGGGAGGAGTTACATCAATTATGTTAATGTGTAGATGATGATTGGATTGAATTGATTATGTTAATGAGTGGTAGACGGTTGGGTTGAAATGAATATGTTATAAGTGGATGAGGAATTCAAGGCAGATTAGATTGCTACTGTTAAATTACCACAAACTGCATCACCATCATCATAATGACCTTGAGAGAAACCCCCTTTCCGAAGGTCACATCCCCTGAAACAGTCAGGTGATCAAGCTCCAACATGTCGGGGATGCTGGCAAATCGACTCAAAAAGTCTTTCACCTGTTTGACGTTGGTGGTGAGGAAGAATCATAATTATCATCGTCAGCATCATCATCGTCATCGTCACAAACATCTTTATCATTAATATCACCGTTATTTTCGTTGGCGTCATCATCATCATTCCTTTTCAATCATCGTCATCACCCCACCACCAGCAGCACCATCATCATCGTCGTCGTCATCATCCCATCCTCAAGATGTCACGACAAATGTGAAGCACGTACATGAATGATGTAATGTGGCATGAAGGAACATGCACCACCAAACATCAATGAATACGGTTTTTTTTTAAATTCTCATACGAACGCAAGAAGATGAAAACTCAAAAACAATACGCAGACTAAAGTGATTTTAGAGTGAGCAGAAATTCGACAACATATACGAAATTAACAACAACAGACACAAATATCCCTAGCAACTGACAATTAAAAGGAAGTTTCCATTGCAATAGAAACATGAATGTAGCGGTCACTCTGCATCACTGACGGGTGTCCAACTGCTACTAACGCATCGTGTGTGGATTCGCGTGAATCAACGCATCACACGCACTGCGTATGACAAGCGAGGATCTCGTTTGCATTCGTACACAGTCACTGCAACTCAGAAAAAGACGACACCTCTAACCATTACACTGCAACGTCTAGCCGCTAATGTTATTGGATCTGATGTTGATGAACGATTCGGAAAGCGAACCTTGTTGAACGAGTTGCCCAGTTTGACGAGAGGCACAGTGAGGAAGTTTCTCTTCGGGTTCATCTCGAGGAAGCCGTGCTTCAGGCTGTACAGGTTGCTCATGATGATCAGCAGGTCGGAGGTCGTCTTCACGGGCAGGAATCTACTGCGAGGTACGTTGATGCCTGTCTCATGTGTCAGGTTTGATCGATGTGTGTGTGCATGTTTGTGTGTGCATGTTTGTGTGTGCGTGTGTGTGTACGTGCGTGTGTGTGTACTTGTGATAATGATATTAATGCAATATGATAAGTTCAATGCAACACACCATAACACGATGCAACATAATCATGATACAATATCAAACAATACAAACCTATGGCCCCCTCAAAACTTTTAATGGCAGCTCCGACGGCTGTTTCCAGTTGGATGACATTCAACCCATTCTCCAGTGTCTGTGCGGGTTAACCAGTATTCAGCAGTATCATATTTATTATTAATATATGATGATAAGTAAATTACAATAACAATTAATCTATTATTCATTGACACAAAGATGCTAGATGAGCCATGCTTATTAATGAATGAAAACTGGAGAGTGGAGAATTTGGCTACCACATAGGTGCGTTCAAGGACCGACCAGTGCAACAACTCTCGTTGTGGTACCACTGAAAACCAACAACTGCATGCAACCTGCTCTGCAGCCGACAGCCAAACTCCATGTGTTTATGTTAGACTCAGCAGCGGTGCAGTAAAGTGGATCATTGCACAATCAGACAAACAAACACACAAACAATCAGACAAACAAACAAACACACTCAAACACACAAACAAACAAACACACTCAAACACACAAACAAACAAACACACAAATAAACAAACAAACAAACACTAATAAACGTACTTTGGGATTAACAATGATCTCCAGATGCACGGCGTGATCTTCAATGACTCGATTCATGGCTTTCAGATTGACCCACAAGTTGTTTGTGTTGAAAATTCTGTTGTTGTTCATATTTGCTGATTGGTTGGCTTGTTGATTGACTGAGTGATTTTTGGTTACAAATTATTTGAACATGGAGGCGAATGACATGAGACATCTCAGCCCACAGAAGCTCAAACAACATCAACACAGACGGCCAACCAGTTGTGCTTGGATGGATGACAGATGAAATTTTATAAGATTCCGTTAATGCAAACAACAATGGAAAAAACAATTAAGAAGCAATTGAATTACGATGAAATAATTATATAACTAATCAACTAGAAATATTTGTAAGCAATATCTTTCAACAGTTTTGAAAACATAAGAAAGAGTATCACTGGCTTATACAGTTTAACACAAAAATCAACACTCACATGAAAGAAACAAACAAAAAATATGAGACATCAAACCAACAGAAGAGCAAAATATACAATAATAATTAAAAACAAAGCAGCTAACTTGAACTTGCTGACACTCTTGAACTCTTCAACCTGGCCAGGAAAAATAGTTTAACAAACTCTTTCTTACTTGAATGTCAATCAAAAAGCCTTTGTAACATAACATAACATAACATAAACAGAAAATAGAGAGGCGCGTTCCTATGCCTCCAGCAAATGAAAATCTTCCATTGTATTTTAAAAATAATAAAATAATATCAAAAATGGTATTGAACGTCTAATCCTACCTAATAAACATGCTAATAGAAAGCATCTCACGACAAATCTCATTATAGCACCAAGAAATAGTTCCAGAATAGATATAACCACACAATTATACACAGCTATGTACCAAGTGTGCATGCACGTAACGAAATAACACGTTTTAACGGACAACACGCGACAACAAAGATACAGCAACAACACGAGCACAACGACACACAACAACGTACATGTTCCTTCGGCACTTGGGCCATCTCCAACAACCTCAACTTATCTTCATACACGACCAATGTACCTCCCTGATCAATGTATCACAATAATGTTTGTTTATCTATCTCAATGAAAATAATAATAATAACAATAATACATTATGCAACTGAAATAAGAATATACAAGTTTTATTAATTCTATCGCTAAGTGGTGCTATTGATACCTGTATTAAAGGTTTGCCACCAATACGCACACACACACACACACGCACACACACACGCACACACGCACGCACACACACACGCACACAACATAATGAAAAATATTTTAAAAAAATATGAAATTTAGTTAAAGTAATGATGAATGACAACAAACAGCAAGAAGAAGGAAACCTTGATGTCTGCTCTCGTTTTGTCCGTCACCTCCATCACAAACTCTGGAGCCTGACCAGATGGTGGGTTCAACAGGAAGCTCAGAATATCTGATGATCACGTGAGTGAGTATGTGAGTAGACGAGTGAGTGAAGGAGTAAGAGTGGGTGAATGAGCGAGTAAACGAGTGAGTGAATGAGTGAGAGTGTGTGATGTGAAGCTGGCAAAGGAAAAGAGAACAGTCACCAAAGAGTAGACTCTCAAAAAAACCAGCCAACATTTTTATCAGCTGAATGTGGGGAGTGAAATGGAGAGATAGACTTATGATAGACTTACTAGGCGGCATCATCAGAGATGGATGCATGCCAAGTTTTGTTTAATTTGGTAATTTACAATTTTTGTTCTAACATATTTTGTTTATCAATAACATCAATGATGGAGACTTAGAAATGAAAGAATTATGAAGAATTAGAAAAACTGGGAGCTGTGAATCTGCCTGCATCAGTACATGTATTTTGGCCGAAAATGTAAATGCATAAACAAAACAATAGAGCAACAACCAAAAAACAATAAATAAAAACAAGACACAAAGATAAAAATTAAAAATGAAAATTGGAGATGAACATTAAACGTAAAACAAGAGCACAAACCAACAACTGAACAGACACAAACAAATGTAAACCAACTGATATCGGCCGTGGCTCCCAGGTTGTCCATGTTGGATATGAAGACGTACTCCCTGCCTTCGTTGATGAACTGAGCCAGCAGACCCGTGTTGTAGAAGCTCTCGTACACATCTCCGTGCCCGGGCGGGTACCAGCTGAGTTCAACGAGTTCTCAATAGTTCAGTTAATGCTATCTCAACATCTCATCACACATTCAGTTATTAGCTGCTGCCTGATTAGATGCAGCAGGCGTGCAGATTAATGAGTGAAAGTGAATGACCACCACATAAGTTAATAATTGAAGTTAATGACCAATCCATAGGTTAATTAATAATTAATGTTAACGGAGTTTGAAAATCGCACGCAAACACTCAGCAGCTTGATGGTCAGTTGCGGAATAAAATAAAACACTGAAAACATTACAAACAATTTAAACAAAAAATATATTGAACAATTGTTTATTGCTCAGTGATAACAATTTCTAAAATGAAGTTGAAAGAACACATCATCACCTTCCATATCATCATTACAATTGTCATCACCAACATCATTCTCGCCACCACCACTGCATCTTATCATTAAGCAAGTTTCTATGGTGGTGATTCAAGAAAGTGATGCTAGGGGGTGGTGAGCCAATAAAATGTGACAGTGACAACAGAACTGAATGAATATGACAAAATAACTTTTACCTAGCAAACTATAAAGACAGCCATACGCACTTGCTAACATAAGTGCATACACACAAAAACATAGGGAAAAAGTCAAGTAAATAGCAATGAAAGCATTTAAATAAGTTACAATTCTTTGGTTCATGGGGTACGCAGGCAACAAATATAAAAAAAATGATGAAAGTGGCAATGAAAACATGATGGCAGTTAAAACATAGCAAACTTATTTTTTATTTTAGCTGAACTATTTATTGGTGGCGGCATTGAAAGAAGGGGTGATAGTTGCTCAATTGCTAGCGACTTTGTGGAGGCATCTTGCGGCAAAATGAATATAAAAATGAGTAACACACTATTAACTTAAATTAGGATTCTGTGAACAATTTTATGGATTTGAGAATTGCAATTTAATAACAAATCAAACTTTGATGAACACATTTATGCGGTTGTGAAGAAATGTTACAAGATGTTGGATATGTTTATTCATAGACATTTCAAGTAACATTATAGACTTTCAACTAAATATAGAGACGGTAAATTATGAACAAAAAATAAATCAATGTTAATATGTAAATAAGAATGTAACGAGAATGTAAGGTATATGAATATATAAGTAAATATGAATTAAGTGGAGTAGATAAGAACCATATTATCTGAAATAGAAACCTTATTGCAAGAGATGCTAAAAACTATTTTGTTCCATCGGATCAACAGGCAAAATACAACAACAACGCGTTGCGCGTGGTGTGTGCGCGTGTCAGTGCGTGTGTGTGAGTGTTTTCTAACTATCTGCGTTTCGAATCGTTATCCTCGTTCTCAATCAAGATTTTATAAAGAAAAAGAGATTTCTCGTATCGTTATTCAAAAGAGACATTTTTCAAAAAGTCTCAAAATAAAAATACGAAACTAAATTTTCATTTCGTATCGTTATTACAATGGTTCAAATCGATATAAATACACAAAAAACTTTCTTTGAAAAAAGAAAAGTTATAATAAAATCGTAACTATTGCTCAATTATCATGAATAGAACGACTTTGATTTCGGTTTATTTTTGTGCAGTACACTGGTGATGCAGAGTGGCGGGAAAACAACTTAGCTCAGACGGTAAATGTGCCGGGCGTCGGTGTCATTGCGCTTTGCCCTGGTTCAAAAACCATCTCTCAGAGACTCAAATATAATGTGGATAGCTTTTTGGTGTTTTCTCATAACTCACTAAATAGGAAGAGGAGCAATAAGTTCGGCAAATGAGAGATAACTGCATTTAGGTTCTACATTTTACTACTTTGTTATCTCACACACAGAAACAACACACAAGGAGTGGATGGTAGACAATGTATCGATATTAATAGCTGGAACTTCCACAGTCCTACTTGAGATGTTATACAAATTAATTATGTAATAGTGAGAGTAAGGATAGCACCACACCATTGAGAGTAATAATTATAAATAATAATAATAATAAAAATAATAATAATAATAATAATAATAAAAAAATAGCTGTCAGCACCGCAAATAAATTATTTAGCAAGCAAAAGGATTGAAGACACACGGGAGTGAGGACGTGAGGGTAGTTAATGTTGTGAACTTTTGGCTGATAAAAATACAACCATAACAAATATTTACATTTACGTATTTATTTAAATAAATTTATTTACATATTTATTTAAATATATATTATTATCATTGAAATGATTACTTTAAAATAATCATGTTAATAGTAACGAGACAAATTATTAGATAAATTCAAACAGCTGGATGGATCACAATAATTTAAGCATATGTCATCATCATAAACCAACATAATCATAATCATAGGTCATCATCATAGGTCATCACCATGACAACCATCCCAAAAAGTGAGAGTATCCTCACCATCATGGTGGTACTCATCAGTTAAACCATCGCAATTAGCAGAGACATCATTATCACGAATCCCCTCTCAAAATCATCATTGTTTTTTTTCATTGTTATCATCATCATCTTCATCATCGTCATCATCCTCATCATCTTCATCATCATCATCATCAGCAACAACAACAACAACATTCAACACCAACACCATCCTCCTCATCATTTTCATCTTCATCATCATCAGCAGCAATAACAACAACAACAACATTCAACACCAACATCATCCTCATCTTCATCATCATCACCATCAACAACAACAACATTCAACATCAACACCAACAACACCATCACCATCCTCTTCAGCATCACCACAAACGTTACCATTCTGAATTAGTCAATCCTTTGTGGCTTCTAGAAAGAAATACATTTATTCTACTTTAATCTTTTCCACCAAGTAAAAATAGTAAATATAGTAATCTAGTAAGACAGTAATCCCCAGCTATTAAAAAACATATGGCGCTATCATTATCATCACTGGTTTGAAACATGCTTGTGTGATGATGAAGATGATCGTGATATGTAATTATGTCCTATTGATGTTAAACTTCCATTAAATGCCTCTAAACAATGTGAATATTAATGGAAATATAAATATCTGTAAAAAAAAGTACTTTTTCCAATTTATTTATTCATTCATTCATTCTTTCATTCATTCATTCACATTCATTCATTCATTCATTTACTTATTCATTCATTCATTTATTTACTTAAAGGTTAAAAAGATTAAAGGTTACTCTCTCTTTTGCGCTTGCTTCAGAGGTTTCAACGACAAACACACACAGTGTATACGAATACGCGTGAAAACCACGCATCGTACACATTGCATATGATAGGTGGGACGATGACGATGATCAATTGGGAATGATAGCATTATAGTTACCTGTATAATTAATCTACCTGACGTCATGCGAACGTGACGAACACACCAGCTTCACATCTACAGCAACACATGCATCATTCAAAATCAGTAATCTACTTTTAAGGAACTGAACCATTGAACTTGAAACGTATGTTCAATGGGAAATGTTTCACAATTAATGCAATATATATGAAAAAGTTGAGATGATTTATTTGGCCCTAGGAAACTACGGAGAAAGTTTAATTTAGCTGGAGGATTAAATGGAGTAATTTAGACCTAAAACAGACAACTGAACTAATCTGTCAACACACAGTTAGAAAAATAAAAATGCAAAATAACTACATATGGATATTAATAGATTAACCTGTCTACTAAACATGAATAAGTGCAATCATACGGCAAGCAACATGGATGACCGAACAAAATTAAATACGCGAAACTACATTAAACAATGCAACATACCAGTAGGAAGCATCAAAGATGGAATCGTACATCGTAACTGACCACTGCAACACACCATCACAAAACAACAACATAATAAAACCACCAATAACAAAGACACCAGGGCGATATGAAGAAGAAAATTGAACAGCCAGTCCAACCAGAACAACAAGTTAAACAACAACTGTCAATAATTTACAGATAAAAATCAACACTCTTTTAAACGATTGTCTTTATAACTAAATGAAACTAGCAACTTTTTAACAAAAACAACGAATAAAACACCAACACAGGAAAAAAAATTGCAAGACTCACGCATCGAGATCTTCAACGCTGCAACTCCTTCCAATGGGAAGCAAGGATTCCCTATTGATTCTCGGATACCTGGATTTAAATGTTTTTGTTTTGTGTCAGTATGTTTGTAGTTTTGATTGTAGACATGTATGTTTATGTGTGTTTGTATGTGATGTGTGTGTGTGTGTGTGTGTGTGTGTGTGTGTGTGTGTGTGTGTGTGTGTGTGTGTGTGATTTTGTAGCTTCCGTGGTTAAGTGTGTATTGTTATTGTGATTTGATGCATGTACGTTACTGACAGAATAGCAGTAAGTGGTTAACTTGTTATAGTGCAAATTGGATTCACGCATTCAATACCTTATCAATATTTGAATACTGATAACTTACAGGACAAACACATTTGTTTGTACAACTCTCCATTTATCTACCTACCCATCCATTCATTCATCTACCCCTCAATCCATCCATCCAATATTTTCCAGTTTCAAAAAAAAAAACGAAAAAAACTAAGTTCTTCATCTGCTGATTGTGACAAACAGGCTTCATGCCAAGCAAAATAAGACTTGCCAGGCATCATTTACTATCAACTTTTAAACTATGCAATGCATCTTTTTGTTGTACCTTCAATAAATCCACTGTTCTCGACCTTTTTTTAAACCATAAGCATAAGCATTAAAAAATTGAACTAACTTCAACATAACCTATCTTTAAATTCAAATATTTATTTGACTAAAAAAAATTGGCACATAAATAAATCTGCTTTGAAACGTTCAGCTGGACAAAAAAGAAAAGTGTTGTTGGGATTGTCCTTAATGAACTGTCGAGCCACTAATTTGGTAACTTTCAATGAAACGCCAGAAACAAACTTCAACAGACGCTCAATTAGATTTAATAACATCAACTCGACATCAATTTCACAAACAATTTTAAAATCAAAACTTCATCTTGAAACGTCACAATCCCACTCAAAGATGTCTTCCTCATCAGCAACTCAGAGTAGCATGCAAGGAATTTGAGCTGGAACTCCTGATAACGACACTTACGAATGCTAACCCAAAGTGGTAGATAAAAAAATACTATGAAAACATCTGTAGCCTCTTTCATACAAATTCAAAAATTGCCAGATGTTACCTACCCCCTCGTGAAAAATGACAAGCAACAATTGAAAGATATGAAATAAAACATCCTATTTATTTTTAGAAATATATGATAGACTTATACATGCAAATAAATATGCTATATTAATGTATTTTGCACCACCATAGAATCTCAGACAGACATATACAAATAGGAACAGAACCTAACCCTACACACACACACACACACACACACACACACACACACACACACACACACACACACACACACAACACACAGACATAAACAATGCAGACATTCATCAAGTAAAGCGGGTTATACAAATGTCGAAAGCGAGCTTTTATTGCCTTAGGGACGAATCTACTATCACATGATAGTTCATAACATCTGAATAACGACAACAACATCAAACTGAACATGCTAACAATAGAAAATATATGAAGTAGTTGTAACAATTAGAATAGCAACAGTAGAAAAGAAACTTGAAGGCATAATTCATAACTACATAATACAATCATTTCTCTTTACAATTCATAATATGATAATCTCTAGTTGCTTTAAAATAGAGAATGTATAATATACAGTTCACTCAATAACAAACAGCTCTCAATTTAAATTGTGTCACAGTGTAAAATTAGGACAAATAAGAGCCATGTGTGCCACACCACCATGAAAATACAGATACAGAAAATATGTTCACAACGTGTAGTTCACATAAATCCTTGGCCAAATTCATGTACATGAATGAACGTGAGCATGTTTTTATTTGACCTCATTTGAAAAAAGTTTGTGACTTGAACTGATCCGCAAAAGACAAAGTCAGAGATTTAGCAGTAAAAAACAAGCTAAGGTCAGCATGGCTAAGAACGGCGCCAAACACTCCTTGTGGCCCAAGATAGGATGATTTCATCATTTGAAGGAGGTTTCAGCGGCAAATGAACGACAGGTTCCCAACGTCTGTGGGTTGTAATTTCGGTAGTATCTCGATTGCGAGGTTATGTTGAGGGAAGCATTAAATAGAAGAAAATATAGTTAAAAATGACGACATGCTGAGAGATGTGCAAGCGAGCGTACAAAGGCTTGCACGGCAGTAAAAACACACCAGGCTTCAATGACGGCAATGTGAATTCAAGTTGAAACCAAAGTAGAACCTATTGAAAGTATGAATTTGTGTAAAGAGCTTGTTCAGAATTTTTATCTCAGCAAATCTGAAACGGACTCTACATACTCCTGAAAAATCTTCGCCATTAAAAAAATGATAGTCTCATTTACACGGCCTCATCTATCAAACCAAAAATCCATACAAACTCATACCTAAGAAAAGACAGGGATAAACAACAGCAACATACTTTGACTGGTTGAACATGTGAATGCTGACATCCATGGCTCCATACTTCCTCAGCGTCTTCTCTGTCTCCTCCGATGTGTTGAAGGAATTCATGAGAACCAGGGGGATGTTGACTCCGTAAGTCTTGTTCAGGTTCTGTGGTGGTAATATTTTCAGTGTAATTGATAATTTTTTTTAATGGAAGTATTATGTGATGGACATTGTGATAGTTTATTTTTGGTGATATGGACTTAAAGATTTTAAATCTGCGCTCAGTGTTTTTTATGATATGTTATGTTAAGTTATGTTGTGATCAATTGACAGATAATAATATTTCTTGGATTAAGCATATAAATCTAAAAAATATTTAATAAAATTTTTTTTAATAAATAAAATTTAATATAATATAATAATTTAATATAAATTTAATTTTATCATAACAAATAAAATCAAGCCATAGTTTGATCTGTCTTTATCTAGCTTGTGGTGTAACTTTAATTTATAACAACTTTATTCGTTATCTTTTTTTTTACTCAAGAAATTTAATCATATTAGCGCATTTTATACCATTGTTCATTTAATCTCTTTGAACCAAACATATGGATTCTAATAATGTATGAGGTTTTTGTTTAAAATTTACGAAAAGCTTGTCAAATCTCAAGTTCTGAAGTATGTCCTGTTTTTTTAAATGATAATCAATGATTTCATTGTTGTTTTAATAACTATATTCAACTATTTTTTAGATCAACAATCTTCCATTCCTTGATTTTCCATAATGGTGATATTTTATGGAATGATCGGTCGTCTTCTTTCATGCCAATAAATAACATTCAAATGAAAAGTTAAAATTATTTCTTGCGAGTAGGAGTCCAAACTTTTACTTTGAATCAGAGTTGAAGTCAGATTTTTTGAAGACTCCGACACTCTGGTTATAGGGTTTTATAGGATGTTGGAAAATTATCAAATTTTCCAAAAAAGTGTACCAAGTACACACACAGACACACACACACAGACACTCAAAGACACTCACACACACACACACACACAAACACTCAAAGACACTCACATATATACTCGCATATACACATACGAACCTCAATTTGTTGGACAGTAAGATCAAGGAAGGTCAACTCATTCCTGACTGAGATAAGGGACTTGGTGCCCGTACATCCCATGCTCGTCCCCAGACCTCCATTCAACTTCAGGACAACCAACTTGTTCAGCATCGATTTAATCTTTTCCTTGTCCATCTCTACTTTCAGTTCTGCATACGGCTTTATCTGCATTTGGTTAGCTTGTCAATTATATTTTTGTTAAGTCACTGGTGAATTTGAAATAGGAAACAAACAAGTATGTGCTGCAAAAGTGAAACCAATGACATCTCAGACTACATATACATATTTTCATTAAGAAGGTTTCCCATCCTTTCACCACAAATCTTGAATTAATCATTTATTTCAATGGCAGATTTACTACATAATCATAATGCATTCATTAGAACAACCATGCATCACCTAGCCCATGGTAATATATATATATATTCTAACAACCTCTCAGAACAGATTATTCCTATGTTGCATTTAATAACAAGATAATTTTTAGGTGTACATCAGGCAATAACCAACAACAAGAAATAAATGAGAGTAACATGCCATGATGTGGTGTGAAATATTCAGAACAGCTTGAAAACTGAAAGCAAGATCAACTAGCAACAATTAACAAAAAACAACAGTCAAACAACATCAGCAAACAACCAACAGCAAACAGCCAACAGCAAACAAACGCCAGCAAACAACAACAACCAACAGCAAGCAACAATGAACAAACAAACAAACAAAAAACACCAACAAACATCCAGAAACATTTTCAACAAACAAACAAACAACTAACAGCATTTTGAGGTAAGGTCTTGATGTCCTCCCAGTGAACAGCTGACCCAGATTCGTGCAAGAAACGTGAGAACAACCTCTCAAAACCATCAAACTCCTTCCTAACGGTCTAAACTCATTTTTTTATTAATTAAATCAAATATTAATCTAATAAATAAATTAATTAATTTAATAAAAAAATGAATAAACAATCAAATGAATAAGCAAATAAATAAATGGATGAATGAACAAATGAATATAAGCAATTCAAGATATAATCCCATACAAAACAAATAACAGAGCTACACAAATGGTCAGCTGTGAAAATAACAATGAATTAAACTGAAACTGGATAACAATGAATTGATTAGAAATAAATTAAAATTTTAATTTTGGCAACAATTATATACATTAAAAAAAACATTTCAATTATAAAAATATTTCTGGTGGATGCAAAGTGAAGCCTTCTGAAATTCACAACAAACAGCAACAACAACAGCAACAAATAACAAACAAACCAACAACAAACAGACCAACAACAAACAAACCAACGACGAGGACAACAACAATTAACATACAGTTTTGTGTTCGGGTTTAGCAGTCTGGATGAGTTTCTCGAGTTCGTTGTGCAGGGTCTCACGGGCATTGTGAAGGGTCATCTCCTTGAATGCTGCGTCAAAAACTGAGCTCGGAGTCCTCTTGTGAGACTTTATTGCAGTAGCTGATGCCTGCGCCCAACGGCAAAACAATGAATGTTATATAACACAACTCGAGTAACTATTAGTTATAAATATATAATAAAATAATAATTAATATTATAATTATAACAACAACAATAACAATAAAAAGAAGAATTATTGTAGTATTTTAACCCATTTTGTTTTATTATTATTATTTTATTATCATTTCATTTAATTTTATTTCTCTTCTTTTTCATAGTAAATGTATAAATGTATGTATATATGTATATATATGTATGTATATATGTGTATATATGTGTATATATATATATGTATGTATATATATATATGTGTGTGTGTGTGTGTGTGTGTGTGTGTGTGTGTGTGGGTGTGTTGGTAAAAGTAGAATTTATAGAATATTGTAAAAAAAAATATATATATGTGAATATTTATTTGAAAGCTATTAATCTGTCCTTTTTTAATATTTATGTCTTACTGTTATGATTGAATGTTTTGCGCATTTATCAAATGCTGTTTATGTTTTGTTTATGTGTGCAATCTTTCTTCCTCTGCATTTAGATTTACAAAATCATTTTTCAACAAATGATAAAATATTTTTTGATATCTTGAGGTTTTTGAGATAAAATAATAATAAAATAATAATAATAATAAAAATAATCATAATAATCATAATAATGACATTTAAAATACACTAAGAAATTAAACAAAAAAATTATTAATTCATAAAGCAAAAAAAAAAAAAAATATATACTAAGGTAACTAAGGTAACCTGCTGTGGATTAAAATAACTTTGGTCAAAATTGTTTAAATGTAAAAAAGACATACTTACAATAAAAATGTCTACTTAATAAAAAACGAATAAATAAAATTAAATTTATTCACGTGTAAAAATTGTTCAACCATTTATTTATTATTATTTATATATTTATTTTTTTTATTTAATTTATTTATTTATACATTAGGAGTCCTTATGAACTGGTAAATAATAAAATGATCTTATATGATAATTTCAAATTCATTACACTTCACTGAGGACAAATGCGTCTGTACAAATATTCATCTGCTGTTAAACTCAACTTAAGTGAGGTCTCCATTCAACAATCTCATTGACACAACATTTTATAACTTCATTCCTATTTTAAACGTGTTAAATGAGAAATTTGCTTTATATAATTTAAATATAGCAGCAGAACAATGCATTCATAAACTATAGCATAACATCCATAATTTATCAACTTATTGTACTGTAATACACAAAGATTCAAACACACACACACAACACACACACACACACATATATATATATATATATAATTCTGATGACCAGATGAAGATGATGATAATCAGATAAATCAGAGACTGAGTAAGATTATTATTATGACTCACCTTGTTATTATTGTGACACGACTAACAAAATATTTCTAGCACTATGAACAGTTCTAGAAATATTCTATTTGTAATAATCATCTATGTCTGATCATCAAATTATCATCAGTACATTGTAGTCATTAAATCATCATCATTATCACACTATCAGTTGAACATGGAAAATCAATAATGCACCTTGAAATACACCAAAAAATTCATAAAATTATAAATAATGAAAAATAAATTGAAAATCATTAATTAATTAGCTAGAGAAAATATAAATATTAATTTAAATGGGAGAAAACCAGAAAAAAGTGCTGGAACATATCTAAGGTCTGCAGAACAGACCCATGTTCTGCTTGGTTGTGTTTCATTATATTTAATGTCATTAAAAGAGACTTTAATAACATTTGTCAATTTTTAATAGCAGATCTGAGCTAACTTTGCTTGCAGCAGAAATTAAGAGGAGGATCAAAATCCACAGATCTCTAATCTTCTAACTAACCAGTAACCAACTAAACTTATCAGTAAATGTTTGGCATTAGAAGTTAGTATAACAGTATAACTTCTTACAAAGTTGCAATTATGTAGCTAATATAATGGATGCAAAATACTTATATACAGCAAAACAGATAATAACAAATGTTTTATGGCAGAATTAAATAAAAATGTTGAAAAAGAGCAGACAGCCAAAAATGAAGCAAGGTATTTTTTTCTAATAATTAAATGAAAAATACTTAAAATGTGGTAAGATAACAATTATCAAATTTAATTAAATTAAACAGACTTAAATTAATTTAAATTAAAGACTTGAATTAAACAAAATTTCATTTTCTTGACTACCTCTTTTTATAATACTATTATTAACAAGTTCACTTTTGATGCTAGAAACAAGATATATATATAGGTCTCTGTTTGTAATAGTTATTCATACAATACTCTATAAAATTTGGTAATTCATACAATATACATATTATATTTATATATATGTAAATATATAGTTATATTATATATAATTATATTATAATAAAAAAACCTTATAGCATAATAAACACTCATACTTTTATTATTAAAATTATACATTTTAGTATAGCTTTAGATTATTTTTTATACTTTCAAACTATGACATATTTATTATGCCATAAAATTTATAGCATAGTGCATATGACATATGCCATATGTCATGTCAATAACATTAATTAACTAACCCAAACTAGCTAAACCCTACACCCCAGTAAGTTAATGTGTGTAGAAGCTGATGCTTATTTAAAATGTTTTATCACTAGTAGTTTTTATATTATCATAATTAGGAAGTTAGTCAAGAGAAAAGTGATAATTTGTCCAAAATTTAAAAAAAATTTATTCTAAGCCATTTTATAAAATAGATATAAATAAATAAATAAAAATAATTAAAATGTTAAAATGTACCATACCATTGTTTGTACTGTAATTAGCAGTTAGTGATGCGTTTGGGTTGTCACAAGTTCAGCAGTTACTAAACAAGACTCCTTTCTTGAAAAAACTTTTGAATTTCTTTTCAACTTTGAATGAAGTCAGTCCTATAGCTGCTATTGTTTTAGTATTCAAAACAAAGTTTCACTTCAGTTTATTATTATTATTCCTTTCAAATATTTGCAAATTAAATTATTAAAAATAAATAATAAAGTTAAAAAAGATAAATTTTGGTCAAAAAAGCAACGGAGCGATATTGAGACATTTTAAAAAAGAACCTAACCTAAAAATTTATGTTAAGAATATGAATATAAAATCAAATCCGAATTAAATCTCGAAACTTGTTCAGAAGCTTTTTTATTTAAAGAGCTAAATCGGGTGGCCTAAGAAAAACCGTACAAGAAATGGAGACCAGGTTGGCTGATTAGGAAAAAAGTTTAATGCGTGTACGCCGTACTTGCAGCAGAAAGTTGACCGATCAGTCAGAGGTTGGACTTTTCATCATCAGCACTGGCAAGGTCAGGTTAGGTGGAAAATTCGGTAAAATGCTGATTAGTGTTATAATAAATTTAATAAATAGAATACATACGTATAGAATATAACATATTCTATATTATATTATGTTATGTTCTTATATTCTACATTATATTCTATATATACATATGTGGTAGCGAACAAATACTGGCTCTCGAATGCACCCATGCACATTTTTAGTGCGCTTTAGGGTCTGGTGTCATTCTGTAGTTTCCATCATATATATATAGAAATATAGAATATAACAAGTCTAAATGTGTTTAAATAATATGCAAATGAATAAAATTTTTAAAAATGGATAGATAATTATTAAAAAACTATAAAAAGTAATCATTGTAAAATCGCTCATCACTATTTTAGGCACTCTAAAACTAGCTATATAAAGGTGCGGCAACGAGTCGGCTTCACTTTGTATTATTTATATTTTAGCGAAGGTTCGCGCTTGGTGTTGGGTCGCCGCTCCCAACATGTAGCGATCAAACGTGTGGCAATGGTTAATAAATGTGCGGCTTCTTTTTTTAAGGGATGTTATAATTATACTCTTAATGAAAATGTTCATTCCTCGGCTTCCAGACTGATAAAGGCAAGAAAATATCTGAGTAATTTTTTTATTATTTTTTTTATTTCCTAATTAAATTTTTAATATTTTGTTAACAATTTAACTTTAACGTTTAACCACGGTTAAATTAACTATAAGACAGAAGACTGATAAAATAAGAGTTGCAAAGTTTTTTGGAATGGTTATTTATATAGTTAATTATATAATAAAAATTAAAGTGTTCAGACGAATTAGTTTAATAATTAATTTATAATTTCATTATATATATATATATATAATTAATTATAGTAATTAAATTTAAATTCACAACGTTTTTTATTAATTTCAATTTTGATGGGATTTATTGGAGCTGAGGATACGCGAGCTATTTGAATAGAGCAATTTGTTCGCCACATCAACTCCGCATATCATTTGTTGCCGCATGTCATGTGCGTTCATTCATGGCTGATGTGTGTGCGACATGTGGCTTCTGATGACTGCTGTTATGTGCAGCTACGAACGGTAGACAGATACGAGCCACACACCAATTTTTATCATTTACTGGAAAGTGTTGCTAACATTTTTATTGGCTATTATTGTTGTTATTACAGTTATTAATATTTCTAATGAAAATATTTTTAAAATGATAATATATATAGTAATTTAGCTACTATACTATGCTACAGACGATAAGGCAATGAGGGTCGAACTGTAGCATAACTAATTTATAAAAGCTTGTTGCAAAAATAATTACCGGCAAAAATGGATATCTGCAATTCCTAGAAAAGATCGGATCCCCACTATCCATTTTTGAGTAATTTTATTTATTTCTCATTTTAATGTTTTGTTAATAATTTAATCTTTAACCTTAACGTAACCGTTATGCATCTTTCTAACTGTCGATAGTTTCCAAATTAAACTGGCTAACCTTCATTCTCTTGTGTTGACTTTAAATTTTATGCTTACTCTGTACAGTGTACACTAACAAGCATTGAACTTAAATTTTACCCTAGGTATGTGAAAGACACTTTGACTTTGTAAAGGAGACCATTGTATTGTCAACAACTCGTTTGAATTCTAAATCAAGAAAAATAACTACTGAACATTCTGAAAGACCAAAAAATTCACTGCCTTTATCTTTTCTGGTCAGGCTACTACACTATCAATTAATCAATCAATCAATCAATCTTTGTTTAGCGTCTTTGGCCATCAAATTAGCGCCCAATTAGGTGATCAGTTGTATCCATTTCATTTAAATTTAGAGTTTTCATATCTTGCTCGATTGTTTGCGACCCAGACTTTTTTGGATGGCCTTTGTGACGTGTGCCAGGTACTACAACATCTGTATAACATGGTTGTCGTCAGGATGGGTGTCCGGATGGAAAAAATTTCCCCAAAATTATTCTATGCCATTACAAACAAAAACAACAGCCCCTAGTCCCCAGGGGAGACTACTATGAAAGAATAAGCCTATTTTATATATACAACTCATTCAAGCTTTATACTAATTTTGCTGTGTTAATAAATTGTTCATTTTGTAAAGACCTTTTTTTATTTAATAGATTATTAGAAACATTAGAAATTTTATCTAATTTTATATATAATATAGATGAGTGAGTATTGAAATACCAAACTTAAGCTCTCGTTGATTTAGTGATGTGTTGTAAAAAAGGTTAACAAGTTCTGATTTTTGGGATGGTTTTTCAGAAGAGGCTAATCAAAGACCAGTTGATGTTGACTTAACTGAGTCATCTTTATTTAGATGAATGTGAATTAAATTATTGGCCTGATTGTAATAATGGGTGTTACCATTTCTTATCAAATTTGACATAGTTCTAACTATATTTTGAATAATTTTTGTAAAATGAGTAATAATAATAATTTAAATAAATAAGGAATGCTAAAAATTACTAACATTTAAAATTTAATTAAATATGTAGTTATTATGTTGATGGCAAAGAAAACAACAGTCTACCTCGGGGAACCGGGTTTCTAGACGCAAAACGAAGATTGATTGATTGATGTAGTTATTTTGTGTTATAAATTTTTGCAGTTCTTTCTGCGTATTCTTTCCCACAAAATTATTTTTCTCATTTTGTTCTGTAATTGCTTTACTATTTATACATGTGTAAGTGTACACTTGTTACTTTTGTATTTCTTTTTATATACAAATCAAAATCACATTTTTAAACAAGTTAACTAAATCAAATTATTATGTTTATTAATTGTGTAATGCACTATTTTTTTTAAGATTTTGTGCTTGCCTTATAATTTATACATTTGTATTTATTTTTCTTTTTTGGCCCGGCATTTTTTTTATATTTAAATAAGAATTTTGAACAATTAGTCAAACGTATAATAAAATCTTATGTTTAAATTTGTTACCTTCTTTTCGTACTTGCCATATAATTAATAATTTTTATTATTGCTTTTACATTCCTTTTTATCCATCATTATATTTGGCAACAAAGTAATAACATTTAATTTTTGTACATGTTTTTTAATTTGATTTTGTACCAAATAATGCATAATAATTAGATATTTAAATGTTATAAGATGTTGTAATGAATGAAAAATAAATGTGAAGCAGAGATTTTGGCGACTTCGTTATGATTTGATTGTAATTATTTTTTCTATAATTAGTTTAATAAATAAAAGAAAGCTATGGTGAGGATGATGTGTGGGGTTAAAGTGAAGGATAGGAGTAGTACAGAGCTGATGTCAATGATGGGACTGAATGAGGACATTGTGACATTGATAAGGAGATCGAGATTGCGGTGGTATGGACATGTGTTGAGAAGGGATGAAAGGCTCGGGATTAGGCGAGCGTTGGAGTTCGAGGTTGAAGGAGTGGTAGGAAGGGGTCGTCCGCGATTGGGATGGAAAGAGCAGGTGGAGAAGGACAGGGTGAAAGCGGGGTTGCGTGATACTGAGGCGAGTGACAGATGTGGATGGCGTCGAGGGGTATTTCGGTTTCATCATAGGTAGCCAAACGGCAACCCCCGATCTCGGGGAAAATGTCTGAACGTGTGTTGTTAGTTTAATAAATAATAAAAATTGAACATACTGCAACTGTGTTGGCAGTTTCCAACAGTCTGTATAGAGATAGAGCACGTATCTTGTCGACTTGTATACATTTAAATACCCTATTGAAGGGACGGTTTATCAATGATAGGTTCCTATTGCTCATTTTTTATTACATTTCTAATTTAAGTGGACTTCACTTTGCATTCGCTTAGAGTTATTTTTAATGGAACATGTATCTAATACGCTAATAATCCCTTAACGGCACATGGGCTATTTACCCTTTAGCAGATAATTGCTTATAACCCCTTCGCAGCAAACATGCTTAATACCCCTTAGTGGAATATGCTAAATATTATTCTATATAGAAGTAATAATAATGTCATTTATCATTACAACAAACGCATTGTGCAAACAAACACACGTGAATCAAAGTATCACGGACTTGTATGTGATAGACGGGGATCTATCCGCATTCGAACACAGTTTCTGCATCAGCAATACTAGGCACCTTAACCATCGCACCGCCCAAAAATTTGTTTTCCCACCGAGAATTGAACCCAGACCGCCAACGTGAAAGTCTAGATTTCTAACTAATAGAGCATCTGAAATGTGATGTGCTGTATATGCACCGTATGATTTTTAATAGTTTGTACAGTTATACAATTTTCTTAATAACATGTCTTGTGTTAAAAACAATTGAGCCGTAAACAATGAATCAACCGTGTCAATTTTATACCGGAAATTGATGTTTTAGATTTTTAATAACCAGGGGTTACAAAAAGATACGTTTTTGTATGCTGAATCCAAATTAACCTTCAGATTTTACATTTGAAAATTTTAAGCTTGGTAAATTTTATATTGAAATTTCAGCTAAAATGTTTATTTTCGTAATTTAGGAATTAATTATTTTTATGTTTAAAAAAAAAAGAAAACTAATTTTAAGCAACGAAAGATTTTATATTTTTATTAAATACTGAAATAGTATTAGCATTATATACATTATATACAATGTCTAATCAATGTTATGTCAATTACAAAGTAGACAGTTTCACAGCTTGCAGCAAGTATCAATTATTTCCAAACTTTACGAGATTGTACATTTCCTTCTTGCTCGCATTTATACTCATTAGTTGTCTGCTGACGATCTCTGATCTAATATATTCATCCCTTCTTTCCTGACTGTAGTCATGTTCACTTGCCTCTATAACCATCTTGACACATCTCTCAATACTTTGAATGTGTGAGGGCTAGTCTGGGACTATCATTGGAGTGTGCAAAAATTGTTTGACTTGAGCCGTTGTTAAGCTACAAGTTAGTGGAGATTCATACATTTCAGAATCCCAATGAATGATTCAAGTAGGCAGCTGGCATCAGGATTGATCTCTGGTGTTACCCTTTGTCTTAAACTCATATCCCCCATCTGAACGTTGGCTGATCTTCTTACCACAGGCATCACTATCTGCATCACCTCTTTGTCTTGGCTTCTCAAAAGCTCAAGCTGAAAAAGAACATGTCTCGGATCATCAATCCAACTATGCTTTACTTTGATGTTAAACAAATTAGGCATATATTAGGCAATGTTTCTTATATCCTGAGTATTGTACACTTCAGTCATCTCACTGTTCTTCTTTTGAACTTTGTTCTCTACATTTGATTCAGATTTCTCAGTCATCACTGTCCTCACCAGAAATAAACTGTACAGCTAAGTTTTCTTCTTTCTCTTTCCTGGCATTTTCTTCTAGTTTCCTAGCTCTTTTCTGCTCAGAAAGGCTTCTGCTTTCTTGTCTCTGAAGTTCTGCTTCTTGCCTTCTTGTCTCTGGCACATTTTTGTTCGCAATCATGTATGTGCTGATGCTTCCTTGCTTAGCTCTCTGCGCTTTAATAAACATCAATTCGATCACTGGAATCTTCTGATCTCTTGTGCAATTACAATTTATGTTTACCTTTTGAAAACATTCAAGATTATTACATCCATATTCAGAACAATTGGACACTTACAATGAAGAATGTCGTTGAAATTTCTTTTTGTTTCTTCCACAAATTAACGATTCTTTTCTGGATTGTTACTTCATAAATAACAACAGGATATTTAAACTTAGAATTTGCTTTGGTCCACTGATAAAAGAGGGCAGTCATAATATCTTTGGCTAGTTCTTTTTTGGTATAATTTTTTTGTCCTTCTCGCTCAACTGCCTTAGCAGAATACCGTATCTTAATAAATCTCTCACAGTTGGTAACTCTGAGATAATGATTTCCCTGCCAGACTCCACATAATGATTAAGATGAGTGGAGGTCTTTCATCTGGTTTTAATTGATGCAGCCATAATCAGAATCAAAATAACAATGATAGTCTTTAATTTATTGCAATATCTGAAAAACATAAAAACAATGTGGTCTAATTTTATTACATACAATATTAGGTGAAACTGCACAATCTGATTAAAGAGATGCACTTCAAGCTTGACAAATGCTGCTTTATGAATTTTTCATGATTTATAGCATAACTAACAATGGGGGTACATTCAACTTAAAGTCATGTTACCCGCTCTTCCGTAAATAATGTAGCATATTTGTAAAACTTTCACTCAAAATTTACCAAGCTTAAAGTGCATTCATTCAAAATTGAAAGATACCAACGGAAACAGACATCAAAAGGCTTCTTTTGTCATGCCCTGGTTTTTTCAAAAAAAACTTTTTAAAATTTGACACGCCTTAGTATACATATATGTATATATTAAAGAATATTATGTTAAGCATATACTATAGAATATTCTCTTGCATGATTTTCTTCATATATTAAAGTATGTATAAGTATATGTGATATTCTCTGTAAATATATATATGTCGGTTCGATTGAAAATATAAAATTTCATACATTGGTCTTTGTAGATAAGTTCAGACACGTAACATGAACTGCCCTGGTTGCTTGGTCGAAATTAAATGTTGGTTTTGAATTCTAGAGCATCCTTTGATCCGCATTTTCAAATGAGAACGCCCAACGCGTGTCAGTCAGTTGGGGTTTGAAAGAAATAATTAAATGTGTAATTTTTACAGTTAATTTTCAATTTACACTCTCAATCTGAACTAGCTAGTGTATTCAAATGTATTCTGATCTGATTCTCCTCATTCATTTCATTTCATATCCATCTCGCTTATAATTGCACATCATAAAAATTAAAATCATAGCATTGACATTGGCATTCATCAAAGAGTAGACTAGACTAAATAAAATATTATAGAATGAGAACATACAGTCACGGATAGATAGAGAGATACTACTTACTACAAATGCAAGGAGGTATTTGTCTTACTTACAGCAAACAATTTATTTATATTTTATAAAAATTTATTGACCATTTGGCTTATAATAATTTTTGAATCATAATTTAATTTAACATTAACTTCAGAATAGCCTTCATTACTACAACAACAGTACAACTACAACGAAGAGCATATCTAACTAAAGCTAAAAAACTGAAATAATAGCAATGAAAGACAATGATATTGACAATTGTTATAAAATTAAATTTAAATATTATGAATAATAATAAATTTGGTTCATGGGCAAACTAATTTGCATTGAAAATTTTCTATTGTAACACTGCACTGGCATGGGCAAAACTGAAGAAAATTGTAAATTGACTGGAGAAATCATATTAATTTCTCAAACAGGTAGTCATCACAGCGTTGACAAGGTGTTGTTTCATCAAGCCAGTGCTTATTATCAAGCACTCATTAACAGTAACATGAAAGATGCCCATTTCAAAGAACTTACATTGGAGTGTTTGTCTGAGTGTGGCTTGGTCGAGGTTAAGGAATATTTGTCAAATTTTCAAATCGATAAAAAAGAATTTAAAGGCCAGACCACCTTGACCTTTTCAAAAATCATTAACGAAAAGTCATTAATTGAAGTTGAAGAAGGACTGAAGGGTGCACATTATTTGCAAATTAATGGCATGGTTGCTCAGTATCTTCAGCTACTCTTAAAACATTTAAAAGACACAACATGGTTACATATTTTAGATCTTTCTAACAGATATTCATTGGATGAGGTGGCTGAAAAGACTTTAGATTTTGTTTGTGAGAATTTCAAAAGCCTAACAGATCATCCAGACATGCTCTTGTTGTCACAAAATGAAGTGTCTTACTTTGTTGAATCAGATCTCATCAATGCACACAGCGAAATTGACATTTTTAATTTCGTTATAAAGTGGATATCTTATGATGATTCAAGAAAATACTGTGCAGAAGAGTTGCTGGCTAAAATCAGGTATAGCTTAATGACAGTCAATGAAAGATGTGAAAGTAGTGATGTGCTTGATAAAATGAATATATGTTTTCAACACGTTGAACACAATGCAAGACTACGGAATACAGTTGGTGTTGCTTTGGCTCTTGGAGGATTCACCCAAAAGGTCCAGACTTGTTTTGTTGTTATATTTGCTGTATTATATTTTTTCTTTGAAGTTGTTAGAAGATAAAAATTCTTGTCCAGTCTTGTTTTTATTTTCTGAAATTTGTTGAAGATTATAAGATAACATTATAATTGATGTTGGTGTGTACGCATCTGTATTTAGTTCAGGGCTACTTGTATTTTTTTATTACTATTTACCTATGATATTTTAAACTTTGATTCCATGTGCAGCCCATTTTTATTGTTAAAAAGCTACTCAATTATGATGGTTTAGTTTATTTATTCTAACTATAAAAAGTGACATAATAAAATGAAGATTGATGATGCAGGCATTTTATGTTAAATCCTAATTATTTTTTTCATCAAACTAGTTTTTAAATGTTATAAAATTTAGTGGAAATTGAATTTTTTTGCAGGAGTTCAGTACAAATCGTTTTCAATTGTTGCCACTTGATAATCTCTTGAAAGCGTGTGAGTGCAACAGAAACCTCGACGAAAGTGAACAAACTTCTCCTGAAAGCAACAATGATAAGTCTGGATGCATGCGAACTCGTTGCAGCAACAACGGCTCTGTGGTGTTCAGATCAAACAAAAAGCAAAAACTGCCTAATACATTGTGTGAACATGGAGCTTGCGTGATTGACAACTGTTTGTATGTAGCCGGTGGACAAGAACATTACTGCACCGATGGGAGATACACTACCAACAAAGTGTATGTCTTCAATCCGGTTCATTCCATCTGGTCACAGGTCATTTACTATTTGCTTTTTTGTTTAATTGAAAATTTTTGATATCTTATGAGGTTTCACGCTGTTTACAATGTAATGAATTAATTTTTTAAATCGATTACTTAATTAACTTTTTTTCAAGTTGCATCTTTCCTAATCTTCTAGTTTATTTTAAAATTTCATAATAAAATTATTTATACTTTCCTATTGAATATTAACTTAATGTTATGTGTATAATAATTATGATAATATGAGCATTTTTATAGCGCCGATTTGCACCTCTGCTTCAGAGGCGACTGCAGCTTACGTGAATGTATTAAAAAGCTAAGTCTTTAGTTTTTTTGTAAAGACAGTGAGGAGCGTTGTCTCAACTCAAGAGATAATGTATTCCAAATAACTGGAGCAGAGTGACAAAAGCCATGGATAGCAAGCAATAGGAACGTTTAAAAAACCTGTTGAGGATTTGCGGAGTGATTTGACATGCCAGTGGCGGGTTATGACATGAGGTCATGTAGATATGTTGGGGGTTTTGACAATTATATTTTGAAAGTTAGGACTGCAAGTTTGAAGATGATTTTGAGGTGAAAGGATGCCAATAAAACATTGGAAAGTGAATGAAAGAGCTGGAGCAGAGAGGTTTGTTGAGAATCAATCAGTCTGACGGTTTTGTTTTGAATAGTCTGTAGGGTTTTTATATTTTTAAATCTTTATATAATCCAGCCATTTATTACAATCACTATATTTTTTAAACTTCATAAAAATGAATTCACACTCATGTTTCAAATATTATTCAGTGTTCAAAGATGCACGTGCCAAGAAGTTTATTCTACCTTGGTGAACTGGCTGGACACATGTATGCAGTTTCTGGATACACAGCTCCCAACACGGACACACCAACAGTTGAAAAGTACATTCCCACTGAGGATCGATGGTGTATGTTAGCACCTCTTCCTGTCAGAGTTCACGAACTGGCAGGTCAAATTCTTTCTTACTTTGATATGTATTTTCTTATTTTGTAAGCGATTTTTATTTTAAAACCATTTCAGCAAAGATTTGATTTTTGAACCAAAGTTGTAAGACTTTAAACAGAAATTAAAGCGCCACACCGTTTTTTGCTGATTATTATGCTTCACTGATTTATAAACTGCTAGTTCAGTGGCATAATTAGAATGTGAAAGTATCAGTTTTTATTTTTCTACACACGGCGTCCTGTTCTTTGCCAATGATATTGTCGTTAAATCCTATAGTCGCCTTTTTCAATCAGTGATCAATAAGTTTTGAAAAATGTTAAGAAACCATAACGTTGGCGCTAAACAGCACAAAAAGCTGCTCAACAAAAACAAAAAGCTGCTCAAATAGAGAAAGGCTACATATTAATTAGCAATTTATACCAATTAACAATTTATACTAAACAGCCACGAAAAGCACCGTGTAAGAAACCACGATGACTTTGTATGACATAAGAGTTGAAGTTCTGGCGCATGTCAACACTTCATTACAAAAAAAATTTAAAAAAAGGAATTTAAAATTAATGACACATTATTTTTATTTGAAATGTAGGTTTTTAAATCAATTATGCCTTCCATCTCTACTTTATGCCTGCTGAAACTTGTTCCTTCTAAGTTTAAATTTATTCACTTTGACCACTTATAAAAACTTATTGCACCATGTGTTTTTTTAATTGTATTCTTTTTTTAAACTCAATCAATTTAATTTATCTAGACTTTACATTTGATGCAAACTGTTTTTCATAATCAAATTCTTTCGATAACTAAGTGTTGCCTTTTTTTTATCTTATCTGCTCCTTCGTGATCCTTTTCTTCAATTAATTTATCAGTAATCCTTCCTACACTTCTCTTGCACATATTATTCTAATTCTGCTTAGTATGGGTAACCATTAGCGGAATTAATTTAAAATAGAAAAAAATGTCTTTGCCTGTCTTTTTAAAAAGCTCAAAAGTTAGACAGTTGAAATACTTCCATATCATGTATGTACGCCACATAATTGCTTTGATAATGAAAGTAATCATAATCTTGATACGTTTTCGCAATTCAACCAATTCAATATTTCCACACATACTGTCGTATCGACAGGTTGTGTACGCGCTGGCAAGTTGTATGTGAGTGGAGGATTCCGAGGACCAGACTCTGGCCACGTTGACCTGGTGTGGTCGTACGACCCAGCTCGTGACGAGTGGTGCTCCATGACTCCACTCCTAACTGCTCGCAGTTACCACGCTATGACGTCTGTAGGCAGCAAATTGGTGGTCGTTGGAGGGGTCAGATATCTTGGCGATGATACGTTCAAGGATTTGATGGTTGGCCTGGCTTTTTTTATTTTTTATTTTATCCTGCTTGATAATGTACAATAAACTTTAAAAAGGATGGAGAGATTTTTGATTTCGAGACGAGCCAGTGGACAACCATGTTGAGGTTGAAGATGCCTGCCTGTTGTTCTCCATACCTTCTCATCGACAACTGCCTCTATCTCTTCGGTGGACACTCCTTTGAGGACAGTGTTGATCATAACTATATTCAGAAAATTAATCTTTCAAAATATACCAAAGAAACAACTGTCAATGCATGTTCTTCGATTACAGACATTGATACTTGTAAAAGTGCCGAATTTAACAATTATATGTACCACTTGTTGGATGACGATACCAAACGACGGCGAACCACTTGTGTGGATGACGATGGTGATGACGTTGATTGTAAGACTTATAAATACGAAGCACAGAGGATATTTTATTTCAGCATATGCATCATGAATTTGACAAAACGATTTGTTGGGCAGTTCCGCTGAATTGTGCTTTTTAAATTATGTTTAAATGTTCATATTTTTTCTAATAAGTACTTCTTTACTATTTTTTTAAAAATGTATTGTTTTTATGTAATAAAAATTTTGTTTCAAATGTAAATGGTTTTAGTAGATAATCGTAGATAAATTTTGAATGGGAGAGGGAGAAACACGAATGAGAGTAAAGGCATACACAAACAACGGGAAGTGCAGAAAAAATAAAAGTGTTCAACAAAAATAATTCAATATTAGAATAAATGGGAAAAAACGATCAATTTTTTGGGAGGTGTACCGGATTTGATTTTTTAAAATCGGACTGAAACCGGATTTAGTCATATTTACAAACTCCAATCCGTGCATCGGTTACATTATATGCCATAATTTGTGAATATGGATGGCTTCATTAACTTGCTTACTTCAGTCATACCCACCGTAAAATATTGTTTATGTCACATCCTTATCAATAATCTAATAAATTCACTTAATTTCATTGCAAATCGTCCTGTTTTATCCTCGTTCTATTCTGTCTGTACTGTTCATGTCATGGGGTATGCACAAAATACCCAAAATCAAGTATCTACGCTGCATTATGTTTTGAGATAATCTGTCACCAATCTCGTTTCATTATTTGTGTCATACCCGTAACTAAACTCCATGCAAAGCAACTTCAGTGTTAGTTGTTGGAGACTGTTGAATCCGTTGTGAAATGCAGTTAGTTGCATTATATCTATAGCGTGCGACAATTGTTCAATAAATCAATCACTGCATATTGTACAACAACCTTGGTGGCCAGGACTGGTGAATTTTCCAGGTGATGTCACTAAAGTATTTCTGGTATATTCAAAAACATATGAAATGAAAAAAAAACATGAGCTAAATCAAAATCTACATTTTACTGAAAATGGTCAGAGTCTAGTTCCACACTAGAATGGGCCATGAAAGTGACTTGTTAAGTTCATTCAGTTGCAGTAGCGAAATGAAAATATTGAATTACTCTCGGTTAGTGGCATTATGTTGCACGACGGTGATCACATTCATTTAATTTTAATGATATAAATAAAATGTAATTTTAACGTAGCCGGTGTCTCTTACCAGCAGGACGGATGGCTCATTTGTTGAAATCAATGTATGCTCGGCGCTCTTCGTATTGTAATACAAAACAATTAAACCTTTGTAACTCACGCTCTGATTTTTTAACACAACATCCTTCTTTTTCTTCTTTTTTATTTTCCATAAATCTATATGCAGCTTGGTATATAAATCAATTATAACTATTAATCGACATTACATTACATATATCAGTCGATAACTAGATACGTAACTCGATTGTAATCTGGATAGTATTTTGTACCGCAAACTAACAGCAGAATACGAGAGGCAGAACATGTTTTGGATTATATCGAGATCACGTTTAACTTTACGATAAAATGACGTCACAAATCACATTTACTCTGGGCTGTTCATTGCAATGAAATGCAAAAAGGTAACATTCCTAAAATATGAGCGAATCACTAATCTATACTTTATAATTTTGTTGCTTCGACATTAAACGTGTAATTCAATAAAACTACTAAATAAATTATTGGCAGGCTTATTTTGATTATACGAATATTTAAGGATGTTTTGGCGTGTGAGTGTGTTCTCATTTATACACACTTATCATATGTATCACCAAAAACTTTCAATTAGATTAGACAAATAAATAAAAATATAAAACTTTGAACTATTGTAGACGTGTTTGTGTGTGTGTGCTTATGCTCTAAGTCATATTCATCTTTATAATATATGTATGATGCATATGTGTATTTATATATTGCATTTTAAATCGCAGTTCGTGTATACTTATATGATAGATAATAACCAATCTATATTATTATGATACTGGCATACTTTCGCGCTAGTTTTTCGCAGCCAGCTAACCCAACGATAAATGATAGTACAGAAATTTATATTGATATATCTGTTCAGTTATGTATCTGAAAAGTTAAAGGTTGTTATCAAAATACAGAGATACAATCAATCATACATACAAACATCTACCCACACATACATATTATATATTACATACACTCATATACAATACAATACACATTGATACTTGATATTGACTACACATGCATATATTATAAACATGTATCTGAATGTCTGAAAAGTTAAAGGTTGTTATCAAAATACAGAGATACAATCAATCATACATAAAAACATCTACCCACACATACATATTATATATTACATACACTCATATACAATACAATACACATTGATACTTGATATTGACTACACATGCATATATTATAAACATACACATACATACAATAAACATACATATACACACACACACATATACAATAAACGTACATACATATAACATACATTTACACATACATATACAATTATACAAACACACAGTGATAAGTAGGATATGTTGACCGTCAAAATTGGTGGGAGGTACGTTCTTGCTTCAGTTTCAACTTGCATGGTTTGTTCATTTCATCATCAGCATTTCTTCAGATGGCTCTAATCACCTCACCCCCTCTCGCTGTCGTTTTGTTCTTGGCGAGCTAGGGTTTTTTTTAAACGTATTAATTATAAAAATTTCATTAAAGTTTAATTTTATCTGCCTTTAATAATTTTTGTAGCTCCAAATTTTTAGTATTTTTTTGTATCAAAAGTTGAGACATTTATAAATTATTATAAATATAAAATTATAAAATAAGGCTTGTGCTTCAGTTTCACTTTTGCTACACTTTCTAATAGAAATAAAATAAACATTTAATTTACTTAATTTATTTTATACTTGGTTATGTTTTACATTTAATTTGCATATATATAGATATATTGCATGGAATGTAAGCTTGGGTTTTATTTGAATTTCAATTTATTAATTGAGCAACAGATCTGTTTTAATTAAACAGTAATACTTAATGTAACATATGATCCCATTGGAAGTACTTGAACTGAATAGTATGTCCATATTTATTGATTGCCTGTGTTGACAGATGAGATGACATTTTATTTCATGTGATGTTATCATGTTGACTTTTCTCAGCCAGCTAACATCTGTTTATTTTATATAACCTGTTAAAGTGTTAAGTTAATGTTAATGTTAAGTTAATGTTGCGTTTCAAGTATGTCTCAATCAATTTTTGCTTTTAAGAACTGTTTAAATTATTTGTTAGAAAATAAACATATTTTCCTTCATTAATTAATCATGTCATAGTTAAATAATATCTAAGCCTCAAATTTTTTGCTAAATTTGTCTTTACATTTTTTAATAATTGAACAAATTGTTTCAGATTAGTGAAAGAAATCCTTGTGATTTCAAGAGCGCCAACATTCAATATTGTTTCCAACAACTACAACATCAACAAAACTTCCAGCCTTATTTCTGGTTTTCTCAGAAGATCTCTTTGTACCTCGAATGTTCGTGTCACTCTACACTCTACAGCATTTTACTTTGTTACTTTTTACTTAATTTCTTTATATATACATGATTGCAATTTATTTATTAATATGCCAAACTGTGTGATATTTTATTTAACTTTTAATGGAATTCAGTGTTGTCTTGTAATTAATTAATTAATTAATTAATTTATTTTTATTACTATGATGTAAATATTGAAAAGCATTGTTCAATAGGAATTATATGTATATATCAAAGAGGTTTTGTGCAATGAACTTATTAATTTTGGTAGGCTTTCTGTTAAGAAGCTTGTAAGTTAGCTTGAATCAAAGTGCATGCACAAGTGATCTGAGATATTAAAAAAGCTGTAAATTGTTTCTATACAAACAAAGGTTTTATTAAAATATTAAAATTTATTTGTGTAAAACAAATTTATTTTCTTAATAGAAACATGTTGTTGGTAGAAAATCTTAAAGATAATCAATCAATCTTCGTTTTTGCGTCCAGAGACCCGTTTTCCCGAGGTAGGACGGGAATGAATAATGTTGGTGTGACGACAAACTATGTTTCTATCATGAAATTGTTGCAGTGATTTAGTGGACTTTAAGAACTGATAGGCTTTAGATTAAGTTAATCATCAGTAAAGGTAACAACTCCTTCCAGTTGAAAATTTTTGTGTCCATGTGAACTTTTTTTGATGAAAGTATCATTAACATTTGTTACTGATTTTTTCTACCTGAAACATTCAACAACAAATTCAGACATCAGACCCAAGCATGAGTAAAAAGTTGAGACTCGCCGATAGACTGACTGGAACAGAGAGCAATGTTTGGTGAGTCAAATGTTTTACTTGCAACTTTTCAATTTTCACTTGTTCATTCACAGTTCACAACTGATGAGCTCTTACAAAGTTTTACAGTTAATAACACAATTTATGAATCTGGTTGTCATAAATAAATTTAGTAAACTGGTAAGTTAGTTTACATCATTATAATCAAGAGCAAGTGCTCTTAAGTACAGTCATAAGTACATTAGCAATGTTACTGCAAATAATATAATTCTAACGCTAAACTAGTACAAAAATTTTAAATTAGTACTGACACACTGACATAGTATAAGTACTGAAACATTAACATGTGCAATCATAGTTGTGTACATTTTTGTTCAAACAATTGACTAACAACACATTCTAATCAGCATTGATTTGCATGTAGGGTGGAGTTTGGAAGCTTGGCAGCTGAGTACAAAGCTTTAAATTTAGGACAGGTAAGTTATTTATAATTTATAAAGTTTGGTGTTATAATGTTAAATGTATGGTCCAGTTCATAATTTTCACTGACAGGTAGTGAAGAAATGGATTTGCGAGTTTGCAAAAGGTTGACAAAATAATTCTCAACTAAATGTCAACTCTAGTTAATTGCTAATAGGATATAAATTTTTGTTAAAATTATTTTTTCTATGGTGACCTGCTTTTGCTGTTGAAATTTTATAGGTTGCATGTGTGTGTCTGGCTAGATAAAGTGAATTAATTGTAATGATGACACCCTGACACTGTTGTTTGTTTTCTTCAGTTCTTTCATTCATTTCATGAACTTTCACTATGTATCAGTTAATTTTTATGAAAGTTCTTTCTTTAAAAGCTGTCGATTGCTTTATTATTATTATTATTTATCTCTCTAATATTTTTTATTTATAGTTGTTCTTTTTTCTTATGCAAATGAACTTAAAACTGAATGATTATCAATTCTTTGACCAGCCAGCTCACACGCAGCCTGCATTCAATCAACTTGATCATTCAGCCGATCTTCTTATTTATCAACTCACTAACCGACCAATCAACTAACTAGCTAACCAGCTAGCTAGCTATTTAACTAATCAATCAAACAAACAAACAAACAAAAATAATTTTAGGGATTTCCAGATTTTTTCCCGCCAAATTTCGTGACGGATGCCTTGCACAGTGTGGCTTCCAACAAGGAGAATCCCTTCCTTCATCAGTACACGAGGAGTTATGTCGGTGAAATTGTTTGGTCATAACTTTCTGCATTTTGTTGTTCATCATTTTGTTGTTCGTCATTTTGTTGTTCGTCATTTTGTTGTTCGTCAAATGTCCTTCCCTATCAAAATTGCACAAATCATTACCATCATGATCATAATCATCACCGTCGTCCGTAACCACGATCATTATCAGGGCCACCCTCGGTTAGTGAATGCCCTAGCACAGATTTATTCAAAAATTTTCAACCGACCGATTGACGCGCAGAGTGAGATCCTGGTAACAGTGGGAGCATACGAGTCCCTCTTCTGTGCCCACAAGGGATTCGTCAATCCTGGAGACGAGGTGGTTGGTGGATGGGTAGATAAATGGATGAATGGTTTTTTGCATTTATATATATTTATATATATATCTATATTTATATACACCTGTGTGTGTGTGTGTGTGTGTGTGTGTGTGTGTGTGTGTGTGTGTGTGTGTGTGTGTGTGTGTGTTTGTGAGTTTGTTTGTTTGTTTGTCCTCGGTTATGGAAGATAGAGAATTTTTGTTACTTGTTGGTTTTTGCCAATGGGTTTTGAGTTTTGAACAAACCAGACTTTAAATTTTTAAAAGAACATATTTTGCATGTCCTCTATGAGTGTCTGTTGAAAGTTTCAAATGTTTTAATGTGAAATTCAGTGAAATTCTCAAACATATATAAATAAATATGTGTATAAAAAAAATAGATCAAAGAATACAAAACAATGCAGGTGATCATATTTGAGCCATTCTTCGACTGTTACGAGCCCATGGTCCTGCAGGCTGGGGGCATTCCTCGTTTTGTACCTCTAAGATCGGTCTGTGTTTGAGTGCATGGATGGATGTGTGGGTGCATTGATGGATGTATGGGTGCATTAATGGATGGATATTCAGACGGAAGGATAGATATGCGGATAGATAGATAGATTGATGGATGTATGTATGGGAGGATAGATGAAACAGCGATTGTGATGTTGTAGGTGGATAGATCATAATCAACAATACACAATAATGTTACTGATACCGTGCTATTTATATAGCGCCCTGTGCATGGAGGATGGCGTCGAGGGTTCGCACGATTATTAGTAGGAAAATTAAGGGACCTCACAAGTTAGACGAGATTGAAATTTCAAAGAAAAAAAACAAATTTTAAACTGTCAGAAAATTAAAACTGGCAAAATAAACAAATATCTGCAGCAGAAAATCATTCAACTCGGTGACTCGACATCCTCTTCATATTAATTTATTAACCACGAAAACAAATTATTAAACGAAGACTATTATAACAACAACAATAACGGCCACAAACTAACAACAAGCAAAAACACATCAAACAACAACGCTCTAGTAACAAACAACAACTCGCCAACAACAACCAACAACACATCACACAACGACAAACGACGACAGACAAAGCCGGCAGGTGAGCTGACCAGTACAGCAGACTGGACATTCAGCAGAGAGGAGCTGACCAACCAGTTCAACGAGAAGACCAAGATGATCATCGTCAATAATCCCAACAATCCACTCGGAAAGGTTGCTTGATTGTGGTGGTGTTAATGATGATGATGTTTTGGATGGTGACATGGATGATGATGCTGGTGGTGATAGTAGTGATGACCATGATGGTGATGACGTTTTATTCATGAAAGATGATAATGTTGATGAGTAGTACCATGTTGTTCATGCACATGACACGTGTTGTTAAATTCGCATCAGCATGTTACTAATCAATATGAACAGTATGCGAATTTTTTTCGCCAAAAGAAATTTTTGTTCATTTTTTTAAAATGAAAATTGTTGACGTCATCAGGTTTTCACGAGAGAAGAGTTGGAATTCATTGGTGACCTGTGCAAGAAACATGATGTGCTCATTCTGGCTGATGAGGTGTACGAGAGGCTGGTCTACCCTGGCAAGGAATATGTCAGAATCGGTTGGTTTGTTTGTGGTTGGTCGGTCGGTCGGTCGGTTGGTCGGTCAGTTGGTCGGTCGGTTTAGTAAAGTAGTAATCTGTTTTGTTGAAAGTGTTAATTTAACTCTTTAATTTTTATTGCGCGCTCGTCGAATCTGTTCTAAACTCTTTTCTACCTCTGCGTGTGTGTCATGCGATGTGATTGTTTGTTGTAGACATTACAGTTTTGTAGACATTACAGCAAAAGTTCAAATGCAGCAGCAGCATTAACGATGTATAAGCAACTGAACCACTCAATCAACCGACCAGCCAACCTACCTGACCTCTGGGATCGAACGGTGACCATAGGGAGTGCGGGGAAGACTTTCTCAGTGACGGGCTGGAAGTTGGGCTGGTCTGTTGGTCCCAGTCACCTCATCAAGGCGCTCTGCACTGTTCATCAGAATTCCGTCTACACCTGTCCCACACCTATGCAGGTCATCAGGCTGGTGATTGCAGTAAAAATGGTGATGATGCATGGTGATTTTATTTTTCTTTTTATTTACATTCTCTGCATGCACACTTAATTTATTGGTGAATAAATTTTTTATCAAAGTGTTTTAATTTAATTAAACAAACTGTTCAAGTATTAAAATCTTTTTACGTTTAGTTACATTAACCAGCTTGGTGTCACTTTTGACAAACGTCTGGGCTCTGAAAATTTTGTTTCCAACGTTGTGGAAGCTCTTTCTCTTTGTCTCATTCTATTTCGGCTGGATTATTAAAATGCCACTACCACTGGTGGTACTTCTGCTGCTGCTGTTGTTTCTTTTGTTACTACTACTGCCACTGCTACTACTAATACTGCTGCTGCTACTGCTAAACTTGCAACTACTACCGCTAATAATACTAGCAATAATAACAACCACACAAATAAATACTCAGGAAGCCGCGGCACTGGGATTCGAAAGAGAGTTATCACTGGCCGAAGGAAGTGAAGACAGTTACTTCTGGCAGATTCCGCGAGAACTCGTGCCGAAGAAGGAGAAGATCATGAAGATGTTGCTGGAGATCGACATGGTGCCCGTCGAGCCTCAGGCCGGGTACTTCATCGTGGCTGACATCTCCAAGACAGGTTGGCTGGTTGGTTGGTTGATTGGTTGGCTGATTGGTTGGTTGATTGGTTGGCTGATTGGTTAGTTTTTGATTGGTTGGTTTTTGATTGGTTTTTAATTGGATGGTTTTTAATTGGATGGTTTTTGATTGGTTGGTTTTTGATTGGATGGTTTTTGATTGGTTAGTTGTTGGGGCTGATTACCGGTTACGGATTTAGTTTTCAGATTAATTAAAATGATGGCTGGTTGTTAGTCTCGAGGGTAGGCCTCATGGTAGCACATCGTCGTCATCGTTGTCGTGATCGCCAGCATTTTCGTTTACATCCCGTTCGTCATTATCAATGAAAAATATCTTGAAACAAATCGGTAAAATTAGGTCAATTTAAAATTTTTAATCGTACGAAAAAGGTTTCAAAGTTGACCCGAAGAACAGTGAGTCGAAGGATTACCAATTCGTCAAGTGGATGTGCAGAAACAAAGTTTGTTTGTTTGTCGTTGGTTCGGTATTTAAACATTATCGCGTTAACTGCGTAAACTTCGCTTTTAACTTTTTGTAGCCGATCAATTTCAACCACCCAGCAACAATCAAACACACAACCTGACCAACCAAAACAACCGATACCCAACTAATCAGTCAACACAACCAATAATTTTTGATCAACCTTTAATCGCATTCAAACAACCAACCACATTCAACCAACCATCCAAATACATTCAACCAACCAATCACATTCAACCAACTAACTGCAGAAATTGTCAGCGATACCGAACAGTGCCTTCTACACGTCAGAACACAAAAAACTTGCCGAGAATCTTGTCCGCTTCTGCTTCATCAAGGTTGCTTTCGTTATCTGCCTTCGTTTCTTTGTTTTCTTCAAACATTCAGTCAGCAGTAACTGATCTAAACATTCCACCGTTACTAACAATACCAACAGTAGCATCAACAACATAAACAAACAACAACAACACGCAACATTCTATAATATTGGGAACAATCTTTTACTGACCAAAAAGATAAAATCAAAATGAAATCAATCGAAAATTATTAATAATATATAAGAGTGTAAATAAATAAATAAAGGTTAAAGGTTTCTCTCTCTTTTGCGTTTGCTTCAGAGGTTTCAACGACAAACACACACAGCGTACATGAATACGCCTGCAAATCACGCATCATACACATTGCATATGATAGGCGGGGATCTCTTTGTATTCGAACCTAGTCATTGCAATAGCAAGACCAGGCGCCTTTAACCATTGAGCCATCACGCTGCCCCATATAAATATAAATAATTTATAAAATTTTATAAAAGAAAACAAAAGAAAATCCATTAAAACGAACGATCCTCTTATGCTCGTTATCGTTGATAAGTGCATAAGAGTAATAAAATATATTCAAATGGTACTATGCACTGTTTCTGTCACAATATATTCCGTTTTTATAAGTTTTTCATCATAAGAAATAGGACATAGGATTTTAAATAAAGATATGTTAATATTGTTATAAAAGATTTTAAATAAAGATATGTTAAGATTATTTTAAAAGATTTTAAATAAAAATATGTTAACATTGTTATAATAACAATAATAATAATAACAATAATAATAATAGTAAACAAAAACACAGGAGGATTCTACATTGGACAGAGCCGCCAATATTTTTCACGAGTGGAGAAGCTCTTTAAAGAACGATTAATCAAAATTAAATTAATATTAATTTATTAATTGGATTAATTGTAATTAATTAAATAGATCAATTAAAATTAATTAAATAAATTAATTAATCCTTTTAATTTAAATCGAGTTAAGTACATTATTGAATTGATTGATTGAAATGAATTGTTCATAATATTTTCATTTTTTTCATAAATTATTATTATGATAGTTCGTCGCTCAAATTTCTTGGATGCATATACACGTGCTACTTGTGAAACATCTTGTTTTTGCTGTCACGTTGTTGAGTTAGTTAATGTTATGTGAATGAATGAATGTTATTTGAATGACTCAATTGGTGTTTTGTGATGAGTGAATTAGTTGATGTTGTGTGAATGAATTAATTAATGCTATGTAAGTGAATGAATTGATGCTATGTGAATGAATGAATTGATGTCATGTAATAAGATTGATTGATGTAATGTAATGTGATTAACCTACCTATGCATGCATATATATTAATGTATGTGCATGTGCAGGCTTGGTCTGATTGATGACTGACCGCACTTACTTCATTCGCTATCATTCTGTTGCAAGTCAAACCTTATTAGTAATTTTTTATTAAGTTTGCCATAATTATATTTTTTAAATATGTTTATAAGTTATTTTCACTTAACTTTTTGTTTTGGCATAATTGGTGATAACATTTTCATAAAAAAATACTCTTACGAGTCCGAAGATTTCTCGTTACATTCGAAATTTCTTTAAACTTCTCAATCGGCCAGACACAAGAGCTCGCTCCCTGCTAGATCGCATACCTCGATCAATTGTAACAAATTAACTGAAATATTTTGCTTTGTGAATGACAGGTTGTTTTAAAGTGGAAATCGTTCTGAAAGGGTTTAATACAGCCGTTAGTTGACGATAAATGCGAGGATTTTTTTGACAGAACCAAGCTGATTTGTTTTGCTGAAAAGCCATCATTTGTAGAAAACACATTGTTTATAGTAAAAAAAATTAACAGTTGATGATAGTTTAAAATTATAACGGCCTACAAAATCTTAAAAATTTTGAGACATTGCGCTTTTAAGAAAAAAGTGTTAAAGAAAACAGAGCTTGCGTTCCACAAACCTCAACAGAATATTTTCTGGCATGCACGAAATTGAAGTCGTCAAACCGTTGGCTGTAGTCAAGGTGCCCGGGAATTCAAACAGATATTCAAAATTATTGTCAAGTTTAGTCAGGTTATAAATTGTAAAACCGTTACTTGTCATAAATGTTTTAAATAATGATAACCTGTAAAAAAACGCTTGTAGTCATTTCTGAAGTATGCTGTAGATAGAAGTGTAAAATATTAGCTAGATAATATTTAACTCGTACAGTACAATCCACAACCCTGCTCATCAAAACAGGCAAAATCACCATAAATGGAATGCAGCATAACATTGTTCACCCAAACGTAAACATCTCTACAAATCTTTCAATGAAATAAAAATGTTGAGAGAAAAAGTGTGAATGGTTGATTATTGGTTTTTTGTAGTTGTGGGAGCTCGCATTTGTTTTCATCCCACATTTTTTGCAAAGTTTTAAATATTGGTTTTTTTTTACAAAAATTCACCAAATTATTTTGAGGTGAGAATCTGAAAAAAATTTACAATAAAAATTTACATAGAGACCTTAACCCTAATCTTAAGGATTTCTCCGCTACATGTTTGTTGAATAGGAGTTGAGATTGAATCATTGATAATAAGTGGATTGACTCGTCTTTGCGTCATCCACGATGAATGAAACTTAAATTATGAAACTAAGCTCTCTTATACGGGTATTACCTGAATCTGGTCGTCATATTTTATTGCTGTAATTGCGCGTTCACTTGGCAGATCAATATTTTCATATTATATAACATTCTTTTCAAATTTTAAATTTCCGTGTTACGTTCAATTAGATGAACCAGCTCATGAAGCGGTTATATTGTTGTTAGGATGTCAAAATTGAAATTGATATTAAATTTAACTTTCAATTTTGTTAAATTTAAATTAAAAAACCGTTTAAAATAAATTAGACCAAATGGACATCACCCACCAGATCAAAGGGACTCTTCACTGAATAAACTTTTATGAAATTAGACAAAACGAATATCATTCATGAAATGGAATGGACTCTCGAATATCTAGCCACCAAACGCAATGAATCCAGGCACAATAAATGATGGATAAAATAGACGAAAGTATAAGATCAGTCACTAACTCTGTTCAAAAGTCCTCAGATGATGAAGATGAAGAAGAAGGTGATGGAGATGAAAATGATGATGACGATTACTTGAGGAAGAAGAAGATGACTTGATGATGATAATGATGACTTGATGAAGAAGAGGATGATGACTTGATGATGTAGATGAAGATGATGATGAAGAGGATGACTTGGGAATGAAGATGTCAATAAGGTGATGATAACGATGAGCGGGACGATAGTAGATATAATTAAAGTTATCTGCGGTTTAGGTTTTGGTGCTCGTCACAATTTAAAAGAAAAAAGCTTATTTCGCCTTGTGATTAATATGGCTGTTAATTGCTCAACCTGGATGGTCCTTTAAGCTTTCACAACAACATCTTCGACACAGTATCGACAACAACATCACATCAATTACGACAACATCTTCAACCCAGAATCTACAACAACATCACATCAAAAACAGCAACATCACACCGTCACAGCATAACATCATCAACATTTTATTCGGTTTGGTCCCACTTTATTTTGCAATTTTTGATCAATGTTCAATGTTGAAGAATTTTAACTTTGTGTTATAGCTTAAGTGCATTGTAGGGTAGAGTGGGACAAGAAGCCATAGTTAAGCCTTTGACGAGTGACTAAATCTAAAAAATGGAATATTTCTACAACATTAGTGATTATTTTACTAGATTGATATGTCCTTCATCTAATTTTACAAATTAAATTGTTCAAACATAGGTTTCCTATGTTTTATAACACAAACCGTAAACCTCTATGTAACGATCTATTTTGTTGTTTGCCCGCCGCATTCTTTCATCTTGCGTCATCAAAGTCCTATAAAACATGGTGACCTCTTTTTTTTTTTTCTCTCTCTCTCTCTCATCTCTCTCTCTTCTTATCTTTCTATTTCTCTCTTTCTTTCTGTTTGTCTTTCTGTTTGTTTTTCTCTTTCCATTTTCATCTCTCTCTCTTTTACTATCTTTTTTTCTTCTTCTTTCTACCCTTACTCCACATTTGACACTTCATTTTCTATCTATGTTTTAATTTTTCTACATTTCGATAGTTCACATACGTTGAAACATAATCGCATGCGTGCCAAACAAACAAACACAAACAACACCAAAATACAACACGCTCACACTCACACACACGCTCACACATAAATTTATATTCACATTCAGAAACGTAAAAGTGACACAAGTATTCAGCACATAAGTTTCAGTAATATTAAAACTCAACCATAATATCCGCAAGCGCTATAAACAACACTCTCACAATTACACACACACACACACACACACACACACACACACACACACACATACACACACACATATGCATATACACATACAAATATATAAAGCACATATTTAAATTCACAGATGGAAAGATGTTAGGATGAATGGATGAATGGCAAACAGCGGGATAATGACTGCCTCATTACTGAATCATTCAAATAACAATCCAATCATCTGTCAACCCTATATATACACATTCAGAAGCAGCTATATAAACGCTTATATGTATAATGTTTATGTATATATATATATATATATATATAAATATAAATATAAAACGATATATATATTCTTAAGAAATGGAAAAAAGGTCAATGCTTTTGGGATATGGTTTATGAGAAGAATTATGAAAATTAGTTAGACCTCTCATACTTCGAATGAGGATGTATTAAAACAGTCCGGTTTTGAAAAGAAGAAATTACTACAGGTAATCCGACAGGGGCAGATTTTTGGTCACATCATGCGGAAGGAAAGAATGGAAAAAAATCTAACAACTACTGGGAAGATTGCAGGGAGATGAGATCGCGGTCAACAGCGAACAACATTCGTGAAGTCCTTGTGTCACTTGTTGAATATCACCACATTTCAACTACTACAAGATGTTAAAGATCGGGTTTTGTGGAGGTTGATGGTTGCCAATGTCCTGAAAGGATTAAACACAAGAACGATAAAGAAGATCAATCAATCAATCAATGATTCTCCTTTGTCCATCAGGGAACCGTTGAGGCTGATGGTCTACATCTAAGCATGCTTTTTACATTTCTTTTTTTTCTTTTCAAAAACCTTTTCTATCTTTGGCCAGTTTTATTGGATTCAATGTTGTCTATCCATTTCTTTGCAGGTTTACCAACGTTTTTCTTCCAATCTCTTTTCCTCATTAATACCATCTTAATCAATCTGTCTTTTCTCATTCTAAAAATGTGTCCAAAAAATCCCAATTTTCTTTCTCTGACTTGGTCATATACGCTTTTCTGTCTTCCAAAAGAAGATATTTATATATATATTTATTTATATATCTATATAAGAGCTAATATATATATTATATATTATATGAATTCTACCAAATTGTGAGCATTAATCAATTAAAGTTTGTCTTTTCAATTTTCATTAGTAGAATTTTTTTGAAATTGTTCAATTTGTTGAAAATAGAATTATCAAAGTTCATTATGAAAATTTAATGTAACTGTTGTTATCCAAATTAGGCCTTAGGCGATAAGGCGTTATTTCGATTTTTCCATTTTGCGAATCCAACTTGCAATCAACACATGCGACTTCAATAACCCGCCAAACTCTTGACAACAAAATAGACAAATAATTTATCAAAACACTAACACAATACATCTAAAAATTACAGAAACTGTCCTAATAGATATCAATAAACCCCGAATAAACATCCAACAAAGAATGATAACATCATTAACAACTAGACGTCTTAATACTAACTTCAATAACAATGAAGAACAAAGGAATGACAACAACAAAGATGACGAATAGACACCAACTAATAAACTTTGCCAAAGAAATTGGCTTTATTTAAAAAAAACTATATACATGCACCGAAGATGATTTTTGAAGAATAGAAGTAAGGCCTTATCTGTATGAAAAATTTGGATAACAACAGTTTCGTTAAATTGTTAATTAAATTTTCATTATGAACTTGGATCATAATTCTATTTTTAATAAATTGAACATTTTCCAGAAAATTCTAGTAAGGAAAATTAAAAGGGCAAACTTTAAATTAATTAATGCTAACAATTCTATAGAATTCATACAATACCGTATAAAATAGGATCTCCTTCCAACATATATATACATATATATATATATATATATATATATATATGCATATATATATATATATATATATACAGTAAAAACGCACATGTTTAATGCAACATACATAAAAGTAGTTACAAGTGTGTGTGAAGAAATGTTTACACACCAAATATATTCACGTAGCACGCATCAATACAACAAAACGCCATGTACGTGAGTATGTGACTCCAAAGTGAATAACAAGGGAGAATATATTATTCAAAAATACTAACCTCCACACCGCTGTAGAATTTGTTTCATGGATTTGTAATGCAGTCTCGTTATTTCGCACAATTCACTCACACACACAAACACATGCATGTACGCACACACACACACATGCACACACACACACAACTTCACGTTGTTATTAAAATTTGATTAATAGTATGGTACCTCTAACAACAAAACAACAAAACTTTATATTCTAAAGAACTACTCCACCTCAATATAATATGGAATATTTCTATGACAACATCTTTTGCAACAATAGCTGAACTAAAACAACAAAAATTACTCACAACAACTGCAGAAACAGCTAGAGCTTAATAAACTACAAAAGCAACAGCATATAACAACTATATTTGTATATAAACAACATCAACAGCGTCAACAACAACGTCAACAAGAACATTGACAGCAGCAATAACGTCAAAAACAACAACAACTACATCTAAACAACATCAACATCAACAACAACATTAACAACATCAACAACATTTACAACGACATCAACAACGACATCAAAACAACATCAACGACAACATCAAAACAACATCTACGACAACGACAACAACAGCATTTACAACAACATCAACAACAACATCAACATTGACAGCAGTAACATCATGGCAATGTTTTCCTGTTGGCCAGCCTACAAACACAAAGACAAAACAAAGAAAGGTTATTATCATTATTATTTTTAACAATTTTTTTTACGAAAAACAAAAAAGAAGTCAGACTAAATTAAGACGTCCCACCAAAGATCGGAATCCAAAGCGTTAGGCTTAAAAATGACAAATCACGCTGCCCAAACAAAGTTGAAAATAGCGACGGACCAATTCATACAAAAAATTTATGGCAAGAAAATATACATACAATATTAATATAAATATTAACTAAAAACTCACCAAAGCCACAACTAGATGAGTTTTTAGTTGATATAAGGATGGCGGGGTTGCAATTGCAAGGTTTCAAATATAATAGGATGACCGTTCCAATGTTTCGGATCATAATATAAAAATTTCTAGCTTTTAGATAGTTCGGGAGCGCTGTTGAACATCGCCGAAATAGCGCTTCATAAACTTATAAATTGATCGATTGATTGTGTAGTGTGTTGTTCTCGCATGTCGTGTGGTGTGGTGTGGTTGCGCGTCGTGTGGTATAACCTAATAATAATGCGATACGAATAATAATAATAAAATAAGGATTAAAAGAATAAAAATAATTATTTCATTCTAGCAATAATAACAAAAATAGTTAGAAAATGATAACAGTGACTGGCGGTGGCGAGAGATGCATGAATGGTTTCAACACTCTAATTTGCTACAATTTACAATTTACTGTTTGCGCGTGTGTGTACGTATGTGCGTGTATGTATGTATGTATGTATGTATGTATGTATGTATGTATGTATGTATGTATATATGTATGTATGTGTGTGTGTATGTGTGTGTGTATGTGTGTATGTATGTATGTATGTATGTATGTTTGTGTGTGTGTGTATGTAAATGTGCTTATGTGTGAGTACGTGTGTATACGTGTGCTTATGTGTGTGTGTATGCAAATGTGTGTAAGCGTGCGTGTGTGTGTCTGTGTGCTCATGGGAATGTGATATTTATAATCCTAATTTTTAAGTTTAAATAATAATAATAATGATAATAATAATAATAATACAATAATTTACAGTTAAAATAGCTTAGTATTATAAATATATATAATGAAAACAACTTTAACAATAAAATAATCACCTATCACAACCACCACTACCACCACCACCACCACCACTACCACCACCACCACCTCTACCACCACTACTACTACTACTACTACTACTACTACTACTACAACAAATAGTAACAATAGTGACGACGAAACATTTGTGATAATGGCAATAGTTATGCAAATAAAAGACTGACAGCAAGATTGTTAGCGAGAAGCCGGATTCAGTTCAGCGCTTGGTCTCGAATATAATTGTCGCTAGCTTGCCTGTAAGATGGCCAACGTAATGGGATTCATCAAAAATCGTCGTCGTCATCATCATCATCATCGTAGTTCGTTTTATAAATTTTGAAACCGCCTCCAGGTTTTTTATTGGAGTTGCCATCTACCGCGAAAATGTTTTTAGTGTTTTTGTCGGATTTTGATCATCATCATCACCACCATCATCATCATCAACATCATCACCATCATTATCATCATCATCGCCAGCATCGTCTTCATCCTCATCTTCATTCGCGGTCATCATCATTATATTCGTTTAATTCGTCCTTCTAATATTATTTTATTCATTATTGAATCCATTCTAGCATGGTAAAATAGAAATCATTTTCATTACACAGTGAGTAAGAAGGAATCCATGCAAACAGAAACATTTGGGTCATTCTCCGTCAACTTGAACGATTTAAAAAAAAGTCCACGCCTGACCATCTCCGATTTTTTTTAAATTTGAACAGTAAGTACCTCAATGTATTTCATCGACAAAATAAAATTTTTATAAAAAAATTTCAATTATTTTTCAAGTTATGAAGATTTTTGTGACAGCATCCTCAAATTTTTGAGCGATTTTTTTCAAAACTTGTACCTACGTAGAACGCTATATCTCTTGAACTAGCCAACATATCTTGATGAAATTTTTTGTGCATATCAGTGAAACAATGTAATAACAAAAAAAATAAATGTTATTGTCTCGAATCAAAGGATATTTTGAACAAAAAATCTAGAAAAAAATGAATTTTTTGAAAATTTTACCGATTTCAAAACAGCGTAGCTCAAAATCTATCGCAAAATAAATAAATATTTTTTGTTATTTTAGAAGTACCTATAGTCACAAATA